GACTCAAATGACCATGAACGTGTCGGTATGGAAATGTCTATATAGACAGTTAAAAATTATCGCTTTGCTATGCGAACCGCAAACCAAAGCCGAATGCAAAGAAAACTCTACTAAAAGTGCACTAAATGAAGTGTGTAAAATGGCTTTATCAATCTGTTACCATAGATATAGAAAATGTTTATAAATTAAAGAAAAGTAATATTTATTTAAAAATTAATAGTTATAATTAAAAAGAATTGTTTTTACCTAGATAATAACTGCTTTTATTTTAAAATACTGTTTTAAGCTACTGGTCTGAAAATTATCGCTGAAGGCCTATTAATATTTTTTTTAATTAAATAAACTATTATTTGGGCTAATAAACAAAATAACGAAATGTAAAGCCTCCATGAAATCAAATTAAAAGAGAGTTATGATATTACTCATACGCCCCATTTTTCCTCGCAGCCTTCATTCATTGCCAAAAATATGGAATGTTTCGAGTGGTTTCTGTGCCACCGGGCACCACTTGAATTTCTGCTGGTTGGACCTGAATCGAAATCGACCTGGGTGAAAATGAATTGCCCGTAAAAATGATTGTAAAACAACGCCAATAACCACGGCGGCAACCGTCGCCGAGAACTGCGTGCAAAATGTCATTAATCATTGTAATTTATATAGAGGGGCCAGCGTCATAAACCATCGACGACTTCGGGGGCCGCTTACAAAATCATTTCGGTCTTACGAATTTATGCATAATTTAACATTGTTGTCAATGAAAAAAAAAAAATGGATCTTTGTTTTAACCAACGATCTGGCCTAGACCTTTTTTATGTAACCGACAAGTGGAGAGGAGACCAAAACGAAACAGTTCATTGCCACCTGGCTAAAAATAAGAAGCCAGCACGAGCCGAAAAGTCGAGCGGCTGCCGGAAAAACATTTGTGCAGAGGAAGAGCCTCCATCTAACCCACGCCAACTTGCTGGTAAATCCATTTGACATATTGCGACGTCCGTTCGCCTATTTGCCATCCCTGTTGCTCCCCCGAAAACTATCGTACATAATCTTATCTAAAACAAAACACTTTCGCGGCATTTCCAAGTCCCCATGTTGGCCGGCGCATAAATCAGCCACCACTACCGGCACCACCGGTACCACTGCTGCCACCGCTGACTGATGATGAGCCACACCGCTGACAATAGCTTGTCAAGTGTTGTCTCCTCATTTTCCCGCCACCCACTCACTTACACGCAGATGTATCCACCAAAAGTTGGATCTCCAAGAGGTTTTTTTCGTAATCAGCAGATTGCACTTTAATCTGTATATTAAGTTGTTATTTTAAATTAAGAAGCTTTAACTTATTTTGATAGGTTTTCAAATATTTTCTACCCTTGAAGATCCATGTTCAGAGTTTCTTTATGTTATAAACCTTTATATATCAAAAAAATATTTAAAGATATTTTCAGAATGCTATTCCACTACTTTTTGCTTTAGTAATAATGAAAAAAAAAATAATTTGTATTAGATCTTTGCAAAATGAATGCAACAAATAAAAGACATATTATTTACCAAACTTTAAAACAGTTTCCTTTGCCAAGCATTTCAGCCATCAACAGAGTATTTCAAATTCTGAATAGTTTTTCCAAAATATACATTTTCTTTTCCCTCTACAGCTTGTCCAATCTGAAAATGCCAACAATAAATTGTTGGCCGCCGTCTAGCCAGAAAAAGCGAGATCGCTCAATAGATTCATTTGTATCCGTGACGTAGCCAGCGGCAAAATGTTTGTGTAAAATTAATTTATCGTATTATGTGCCGAAAGTGATATAATAGTCAGTCCATTTGGTATACTTGGGAATTAACAATGTTGAAATTTCCTTTATTCTATTCATGCCTGATTGCCGTGCCAAATCTATTTATCATGATCTCGTGGGATTAAAATTGATGCAATTATCTAAATTTACAAACAAATTTTAGACGAGACATAAAAACTCTGTAAAGTTGAAAAAATATCTTTGTTGTAGAAATGCACCACGGACTGAGACCAATTTTGACGAGATCACTTTCTCAAAAATGTTCTCACAAAGGCAACGTTTGTTGATTTTTACGCACTAAACATTGGACAAAGACTTTGTAGCATTTCTAGAACACCCCTTCAAAATCAAAGGCTTGGCTCTTTGTTGTCGTAAATAAATATTAAGATAGAAGATTAAGTATTTAAAAAGACAATTAACATGCTGGAGTCAAGACTCGAGTGACAGTGAAAGTATCAACTTTTGGATCGATGCAATGTTGGCCAAACTGTCGGAGCAACTTCATCAACTTCAACGGCCACGAAAGACGTGCCGTAAATTAAGTTATCAAAAGAAGCTGTCGGAAGCTTTTAGCATCCACCAGCGGCTCCAGTTTGCTGCAATTTCGGCCGACTTGAGCTGAGCTTCACTCAACTTCACACCTCGGTCCACGCACTAAATCAGTCGCATAATTGCCGTCTGCCCGCCGGGCCAAGTACCCTCCATATATCATCTCGAAAATATGGTATGCACGCCCCCCGTGCAAAGGTTTTTTCAGCCCGGACCTGGGTCTTGGGGCTCAGTTCAGGTTCAGTCGGGGTATATACTATAAAGTCTGCTCCCTGCCACTCGGACACCGTTAGTCGCCGCTGCGATTTGTGGGCAATGCAACTGGTGTCGAGATTCAGACGTCTTTTGGAGGTCAACTGGTTGATGAGCCTCGCAAGATGCCACTGAAGCTGCCAGCTGACGGAGTGGAAAATTCACAAATTTTGGCAGTTTCCACTTTGTTTAGACAGTTTCATGTTACAGCACTTGTCGCTCCCTGTTAGCGGATTTATGGCTAAGCTATTTGTTTAGCCAGAGATTTATGAATAGGTGGAAAAAATATAAATTAGGTTATGTAAAGTAAATAACTTTAAACGATTTAAATAAACACATCAAAATTAAAGCCTTGGTAGTAGTTTCACTTTTTTTTTATTTTTATCTGTCTAAAAAATAATAATTTGCAGTTTCTAATAACTATAAGCTCTCCAATTAAAAGCATATACTGTTTGCTGCCTCATTTCCTGATCTCTTTTGTCAGTTTAAGATTTCGCCAACTGATGAAATGTTCCAGAAATTCTTAAAACCCTTATAATCTACCATAATTCTCCCATATCAAGTGCGAATCAAGTTTATTTTAAGCGATAAAGCTTTACATCTCAAACAGAAGTTTAGCACAATGTTCGAAGATTGTGTTGCGATCGTGATTTTTGGTGCACTTTGTACAATTTACAGCCCATAAAAGACTCACTCAGTCACTAATAAACACAAATTGCTTTGTTAGTTGCCACTGATTTGGCTTGTGAAAGTCCCAAGTCCGAAGGTGAGAGTGAGTGGCGGGTACCCAAAATGAGTAGAGAAACCTCCCAGCATTTTTCACTTTGAGCTCCGCGACCATAAAAATCTTTCCCCAACACCCACAATCGAACAGCAGACACACTCCATCAGATGAGTCTTATAAAAAGCTCTTTAACACGGCAATTTCAATCTTATCGCACTCCTTTCGCATTATCGCCACCAGATCGAGTCCAAAATCAAATTAACACCTGAGGCAGAATCACCGGCGGTGAATTAAAAAATTTGTACTCCGGCGAAACGAAATCACCGCTATCAAAGCGGCATCTCCAGCAGGCGATGTTTCCCATGGGCGATGAGCTTGTCCGATAAGCGAGCGCGTTTTTAAATCGCCTGCAAACCGGACCCAAGTTGTACAACAAGTTGTTTTCTGCTTTTTGGTGGCTTTATCAGTGGCGCAAATTGCTGGCTGCAAGGAAGTCAATGAAAATGATGCTGTAAATTTAATCGGCCGGCCCCAAAAGTTATGCAAAGCAGCTATCCATGATGATGATCTTCATCAGACTGACTCATTTCCCGGAGGGAGCCCACCTAATCAGGCCGAGCGGTTAATTAAGGCAAGATTTATGCCCTTAGCACACTAAAGAATTTATATGCCAAATAATACAATTCTTGGGCCGCCGCATTGCCAAATCAAGTGTCTAACTTAATGATGCCCAACATAAACAGACGAGAGCGGCGAGCTACGGAAAATACGATTTCTTTGGCAGATCGTGCAGTGCGTGTTACGCAGTTTCGCAGCGTTTTATGAGAACTTTCAACTTGTGGGCGCTCTATAGGTACATCAACCAGACTACGTTGAAATATACATATGTATGGCGTGCGTGGGCGTGTATTATTTCTGATATTCTAAATATTTCATATAGCCAAAGGCATTAGTTTATTTGGTTGTTTATGCAGTACAAGTGGAATGGGCGGTTGGAAGGGAAAAAAATCAAACAGAGCCCCCGAAACAAATTGAACATAAAACATATTCAAAGTAAACCGAAAAAATATGTGAGTAATGAGAGGGGGTGGGATGATGGGTGGCGTCCACTTTGAAGTTCATTGTGGGTGGGAAGTGCCACCAAGGCATAAGCATTCACAGGAGGGTACTTAGATCAAAATTGGTGACACTGTCCCTGTTCCCTCTATACATTGAGACCTGTTTTAAATAATTTCTGTATATTTAATACCATGATAGCTTGGCTAAATTCTTGTGGAAAAATATTACAAGGTCATTAAATAGCTTTAATATTTGGAAACATCATTTTTGTTTCTTTTTTTGAACTATTTTATTTAATAGGAAGTGATTTTTGACTGGACACGAATCTCATTTAATCTCATGGTTTTTGGAAATAAATTTTAGATAAGCTTGAAGTTGGATGATGAGGAAATGATTTTATGTAGAATACGACACTAGCTTCGTATTTTTGTTTTTAAAGAAAACAATTTAATTCCCAAATTTGTTTTCTTTTATTTTTTCAATTTTGTCCTTGTGCAGTTATAAATAAACAAAGAGGACTTTTAAAATAACAATTTAATATTTGTATAACTCTTAATTGAAGTCAAATCAAATTATTATATTATGGGTATGAATTTTTCTTCAATTATGATTAGTCTACTTACTGAATTCACTGTTCTCGTCCTGGGTTCCGTTGACGGTTCCATCCCGCATCAGTTGGAGGATGCGATTCTTGATGTACAGCTGGATCTTGCGGGATGTCCAGGCCAAATGGGACTGGGGCACCGTGGAGCGCTCGTTGCGGTCCAGATTGCTGATAGGTGTGTTACTGCTACTGCTATTTATGTTTAGATTACTCCTAGGGTTGCTCAGTCTTTTCGATTTCGAACCAATGAAATTATTGTCAGCGGGCGACTGTTGATGCTGCTGCTGATGCTGCTGGTGCTGGTGATGATGATTATTTTGCGTATAGTGGTGGTGCTTCTTCTGCTGCTGCTGCTGCTGCTGCTGGTGCTGGTGATTCTGGTGACGAATGCTGCGTTCGGTACGCGACAGGACAGCCAAATGCTCATTCGGCACCGCCGAGATGACAAATCCCAGCGGCTCCTCCAGCTGATCGGAGTCCTCCTCGCTGGCGAATCGGGGTGTGCTTGTTATGGCAGTTAATTGCGTGCTTAGGCTCTGATTAAATTCAGCATTAATACTTTGATTTGTGGGTTGATTTACACTACGTTCACTCACTGCGCTCGGCACTAAACTACTACGACTATGATCACTTTGTAGATAACTATTACTAAATAGATTGCTATTGTTCGTGCTGTTGGCTGTGGATGTCGCTGTGGATGTGGATGAGTCTGGTAGGCTGGCCATCAAGGGCATTGCAAAGACCAATCCCGGCCAGTCGATGATCAGCGAAAGGAGGGCGCCCAGCAGCGCCAGGGCCCTCCAGTCCAAGCGCAGGTTTCTTCGCATCAAAGATCCCCAGTTCGGTTCACAGGGGATTTTCGAGCCGTTGTTTTCCGCCCGAATCCGAATGTTTATAATTTCTGTGTAAGTCGCTGTTTATGTTGTTTATTGTTTGTTTGCCAGTTTATTGGGCCTTCGCCACGCCCTCGGATGTCGTTGAAACATATGAACGCCCCTTTTATGAAATCTTTCACTTTCGTTTCGTTTACGTTTTTTCTTTTCACTGAAGAGTCTCTCTCTGGGTCCGTTTTAATATTTTTTTTTTTAATAATTTTTCTTTTCCTCTTTCCTGGCAGGAAATTAGGTTATCATATCGTAGACTTGTTTAACACTTTTCAATTGCTGCTGTTGCTGTTGCGGATCTTCATCTTCGTCTTCCCCGCTGATAATGCATCTTATCAACGCCAATGACTTTCTTGTCATGTCATATATTCCCGCCATAAACTTGGGGAGCGATGAATGAAGCAATCTTGTTGGCCTAAGTTTGGTTGGCTAACATTTTCTGACGAGCTGCAATAAGAAGAATTTTGGATGAAAATTTAGTTGGTCTTGCTTGACTGGTGACTTATCATTAACTAAAAGATTATCCATATCATAAAATAACTTATCACGTGACACTCACTTGCTCAGCCTAAAATTTATGGCATTTGGGAATTGGCTTTGAAATTCCATAGCGAATTCAAATTGTATTAAGCCAAATTGTACATAAATTCTTCAGCTAAGCGCTTTTAACGCAATTTTTGACATTTTAATTAGCGTTCGGCTATATAAAGACACAACGACGACAAAGTGGCACAGTTTATTTTTAGCCAACGGACCATCAACGAGCCAAAGAAACAATTGTATCTATGAGAGCGACAAGTGATCGGCAAGAGGTTACATAAAAACTGGCCAAAGGGAGCAGTTACGCAAAGGAAAAACTCGGTGAAAACATCGAAAATGACTTTCCCGAACGGATTGGGAGAAAGAGAGGTGGAGGAAAAGCCCCTCAAGACTGGCGGACAGGCGAATTGGATAAAAATAAAATGGGCAACAAAAACAATTCGCGCAGAAAACTGTGTCGAATTTGAAAATAATCACGCACTAACTGCAGCGGCAGAGTATCTGTATCTTTATCTGTATCTGTATCTGTATCTATGTGATACTCGCAGTGCAACGGGGCGGCTGAGTGACGTTGCCGGTGCACTTCCACTCGACTGCCGGCTTCTTGGCACGTGTTCAGCAAGCCTACGCAGAAGCATTTTTTATGCAACATTTAAGTGCACCCCGTTTTAATTACCATAAACAACAAAAACAGCAGGAAGAGCTACAAATCCAATTGGCGACGAAACAGAGACAACTCAAAACTCATGACTTCTGTGCCATCAAAATGTTAATTGCTTTTGCGTCCTTCTGTCTAAACTGCCGGCGAAGTTATGCAATACGTTGACTTTGAGATATATTTATTTCAAAACCCCTAAGACCATCACAAACAGTTGAAAGCCCTCCAGATCGTAAAAACGGCATTTGCATGCCAACCAAGTTATAAAAACCACGAAATCCGATGAATCAGAGAAACTCAATACTATATGTGTAATATAAAAATACGCAAAATTCTTTAAGTTTCCATCACCTTCCCCCACATTAAAAATATATTAAGCCTTTGCCAGTTTAATGCCTTTCACCCAAATACAAGTAGATATAAAAAGTATATGTGCCACAGCAGGCAAAATGTGTGCCAAGCCAGCCGCAGATTCGGTCTCAAGGCGTTGTTTATGTTTTTTTTTCTGTAGTAGAATTTATGTAAGGGCAACAAAAGTTCCAGTCTCAGAGACCACAGCAATCCAAGCAGCGGCAAAAAAAGAAGATAAAAACACCCAAAAGGGAAGCGTGTCTTGACACATGCCGAAAGTTGTAAAAATAGCTCTGGAAAAAAATCTAAATATGTAGATGAAATATAAAAGTCACACCTATGGTTGGTAGAGCCAAAAAAACACAAATGTATCTGCTTTTTACGATTTGAGCCCATCGGTTCTTCTGTCATTCATAAGCCTCCACAATTCAACAAATTATGAGCAGCATAAAATATAATGAAATCTTTTGTTTTTTCCCCCTGGTGCGTTTAATTCCCAAACGGCCCATAATGAAGAATTATACCTATAATCGAAGGCAGTATTTAATTAGAGTGCAAACTTATTGCTGTGATTGCTCTGGCAAAACACTGCTCTCAAGTCGAAAGCGAAAGGCCAATAACCACCGAGCCCCCATAAATACAAGCATGGGAAAGCCAAAGAACTCTTTAAGTTCACTTAACACTTGTCATTCGAGTAAATTCGGATCCGTTATGAAACTTGAAATTCACTTAACCCAAATTTATGTGACGATATTCGGTGGCAGTCTTCTAATCATATAAATGTCCAAGACATAAAAAACCGCGACAACCAAAGCCCAAAAAACTCTCAGAAAATGTATAATAATGAATGACCAGTGACGTGTGGCGGCATCTTTGGTCTGCGAATGAATTAATTTTATAATAAAATGATCTTGAAGAATGGGTGTAAATGAGATTTTTATGAATTCAAAACTTATGCATTAAAAAGTTATAAGATCAATTTTAGATTGGTAACGATAGTAAACTATCGTTACTACCTTTAAGCCATTTATGCGAAATTAGTTATGTTATATATTATAAAAAACGTTTTAAATAGAAACATACTCATACATATCTTAAAAATTATATACACAAAAGCAACAAAATATAATTTTAAATTGTTAAAAACAACTATTATAAGAGCAGCCCATTGTCCTATGTGAATGGTATCTTGTTTGAAACATTAAATATAACATTTTTTCGGCTTTTCGTCGTTAATAGCTTGACAACAAGTCACCAAAGTCGGAGAGCAAAAAGGCACAGTAAAAATTTAAATTAGTGGATCTAGCTATGAGTCTCCATTTCGTTTGAGAAGCCACTGAAATCAAAGCCAGGCCTAGTCATTGAACTGAAATGGCAGTCGCTCCACAAACTGATTAGCAAATTTAGTTATGTTTTGTTTAGTTTTGCTTTGTTTTTCTGCGGCATTTCGAACAACGCCAAATTTATGCGTTTGAAATGCGTTTGACATTTGCGCTAGCCGCTGTTTTAATGGCGCCGCTGACAGATGGGCTTGAGGTTGGGGCATTTGGAAAGTATCTGGCGGATCGCCTGGACGGCAATAAATCTAAGCCGAGCTGCGCAACTTAATTAGTTCATGTCAGACGCTTGGCTTCCCCGCCAAAAATACAAAGGGGAAAAACGCTCATTGGACATTTATTACAGACCGAAATGTCGGACATATGTAAATTTTATTAGTTTCCGTTGTGGTTTTTGCTAATATGCAAATGATTCACGCAGTTTGCCAGACAACAAAATTTTGAATAATTTATTATAACAGGTGAATAAAAATTTTCATAGTCTAATAAAATAAATACTCGTTGACATTAGCATAAAGCTTACGTTTTATATGTATTTTATTTTGTTAAAAAATCAAATAGGATTACCGGTTGAGCGTTTGAAAGTGATGGTTTCTTGTTTTTAAGTATTTTTATTTTTTGCTCATTTTACTTAGTTAAATGCTTTTTGTTTTGTTTTCCAATAACTTACGTTGTTGTTTTAAGAAGCCGAGCTAATTCGCAATATTTATTACCAGAATCTATTACCCAGAAAACCATTTAGTAATGTCGTATCTCATTCTTCATGCGGTTGGCAGTAAAAAACACTGCCAAAAACCACAAATTCCCAGACTCTACACTTACATGTGCAATTTATTCATGGCTTGTGGTTTTAGTTTTTGCCCAACTTTAGTTTGGGCAATAAAATAAATTAGGCCCAAGAATAAACAAAACAATGTTGTGTTGCAACAATTTGAGTTAATTTTGTTTCCCCTACTGTGAAAAAGTATTTCATTGCCAAACTGAAAGCGAAAAGAAATTAACAAACAAGATAGGTATATGAGTTTAACAATGAAATTCTAGTTCAAGAGAAGATAAATTTGTATTTTTTTCCCCCGTTAAGTGTCTGACGTTCATTGTCGTGTTGACACTTGTCACAAGATTGAACGAGAATAAATATACTTCTATTCATACGTACTTTTGTGTATTATGGAATGCTTAGCAAAAGATTGATGTGCGGTGGGATTCCTGACAACTGTCTCATAGATGAATATCTATCAGAATGCAAACAAGGCGATGCATTTGGCTGTGGATTATTGTCGCTGATCTGGATCTCTTCGGATCTACAAGTCTTTCGGATGGAGTCATCCCCGCCCGTATTCGACTCCCGTGTTTACAAAACAATTAATTTTCTTTGGAAAAACAAGAAACGCTGCGAACGGGGGAAATGAAAAAGATACCGAAACATAACTCAGGCAGCCAGCCAAATGCACTAATCGATGTGCACTTCATTTGTATGGAAACTGGCATAAGATACTTGAAGGCATCACTGTTAGATACTTGCCAACAATCAACGGGGAAAGCACTGCCGCCAGGGAAAAGGAAAAGTACGAGTAAAAAACCTGAGCGCACAAAGGCAGCGCTTTTGTGTAATCGATTTGAACCGGAAGCAATTGGGTTGCCGCAGTCTCAGCGGCAGCGGGAAAAATCCTCTCAAGATGCAGCTATTTTAAATATTTAGTGCACGAGACAGGCGAGGGCAGAATCAAAGATACACGCACACTGTCTGAAAGCGATTCAATCACATGCGGCGGTGCTAACAACAAAGCAAATATCGGTCGCCAGATATATTGACATCATACAGAAAGTAGGGAGCCCCAGCGATTAGCACAAAAATACTAAAGTAAAAATTACAACATGAGAAATTATGCCCTTTCTGTCATTGCTAGAAAATTGAAAGTTAAATTTGTCAATAAAAAAACTATTTTTACTACCGCTGAGGTAATTATATATTAGCTTTTAATTTTTAATTCAAAACAGCCACTGATTTGCATAAAACATTAATTTAAAAATAAGAAAACTAGAATGTGTAGTTAATTTTATAGATCCTATCTGAACATTCTATTAGCATAAAATAAAATAGTATTTATGATACTACGCTTCCTGTGCTACAAAATATTTCAAGGGAAATATGTGAAAAATCTTAATCATTGGGTTTTACGTAAACTCTAATAATCTTTGGACATTCCAAGAACTGTTTTTTATCAATGGTTTGTGACAAAATATGAAGAATTTAAGTAGTAAGTGAGATTTTCTAAAGCAATTGTTTTAATTATATAATTCTTGTTAAATTGCATGTTCTACAGGACTTTTATGTCATTTTTTTTTTTGTAATTTCTCTATTTTATTCATTAAAATTTTTATAAAAATTATTTCAGCGAAATTACTTAAATATATTGGCGGAAGAATATTACAAATTTTGATTATATCTTTGTGTAAATTTGCTTATTACTATTGTATTTGTCAACATATAGATTTTAGTGGTAGTACCTGAGAAATTTTCGTCAGTTTCGGCCACATTCGCACCCTTGTGTCTCACTTAAAAATGTATCGCTTGCCTTTACTTACACACTTGCCCACTGGCAGACTCATCTCCCACACATTTTCGCACATTTATTGTAGTCTAATTAAAAGTCACGCACTTTACGTGCGAAAATTAAAAGGAAAACCGTCGTTTTAAAATAAAATCAACAGAAAACGACAAAAATCAAAGACAACGCGACGTATTAGTAATGTGACAAACAGACAGAGCAGCAATTGCGTCTAGGATATTTTTAAACAGAAAAACAAAAAAAAAACAACAAACCTGACTAAAATACGCGACGATTTTCTCATTTCCATTTCGGCTTTTTGTTGCTATTTTTTTAACTGAGGAGTGTACCTAAAGTTGTTGCCATGTTGTATTGTGTATGTGTGTCTCTAAATGTATGCCGCACATTATGTGGTCTAGTGTTCACGCTTCATTAAAACAAACGCTGCAATTTTACTGAGTTTCCCGCATTTTTCTTTCTTCTTTCCCCGGTATATTTTACTGTATTTCCCTTTTTTGTTCGCTGTTATGGTCGACATTTCATTCCGAGTATTATGCGCCACTTTTGACCAAGAGAAAAGCAAACCGCAAAACTATTTACGCACGGCAGTAAAACTTTTTTCTTTTGCATGCGATAAGCTTTATCTGGGAATTATGATTGTTGTATTTCAAACTTTGCCTTTACCGGCCCATCAATCAAGCACTATTTGTAAATGTGTCACAGAACCAAGCAAAATGTTACCCAACACACGCGTTTCAGAACTTAACTTGATAATTGGCTAGCTTTACGACATCTCAAGTCCCACGGCAAACACGCCAGTATCCGGTCTGAAATCGGAATATAAATTCCGACCTGAACGCTATTTACTGCCGAAAATTGAATTTCCATTTAAATTAATTTGGGGCTGCCATACTTTTTATTTAATCATTTTTTTTTTTGTGAGTGAACACATTTATTGCATCAATTTACGATTTGTTTTTCACTTAGTGAATTATTATTGACGTTACCAGAAGCATTTTTTTGGGTGGTACTAAAAAATTAATGAATTATTTTCTTTGCCCTTGAGAACTCTTCGTATTTTAGTTAATGAAATTGTGACGTGAGAACTTTAGTAAAAGAGCAAAACGTATTAGATCAGGGATATTAAAATGCACGATATATTTAAAATTACTCAATTTGACTTGGAAAAATATACTTTCGCAGAAAGAATATAATAAAATATATAAAAAACTATAAAGCAAATTATAGAAAGATTTGCATTCTTTGTAAAATAAAATTTTTATCCAAACAGATGGTTAAAAATAAAAAGAGCGAAGAAAAATTAAAATTAATATTTTCCACAAATTCAGAAAGAGACTGAAAAATTATTTTTAAAATATATCTCAGTAATGCCGAACAGTTAATAGGTTCTATAAATATTCTGCTAGACTTGAGTTAAGCACTCAATGCTGCCATTAATTAAAGATGAGTTTTATTCTATATCTCGATCCCCACATTTTGCAGTTTGTCTTTCGGTCTGCTGTCAAAACTATGATCCGCCATGTGATTAGCAGTTGTTGAACCCGACGCACACATGCGTGCCTTTTGACGCGACAATAACGCAAATTCACACACAGATACGACGCGCAAATCAGCAGCAGGAACAAGAACAACAACTTAGCTTAGATAATAGCGCACAATGTTAGATAATAGTCGACGCCGCCAATTTATAGGACAAAATACTGCACGCGCAGAGCAAGCAAACAAAAAAGGTATAGAAAAAAAGTTTGCAAAATTAGATTAAAAGCGCCTGCGTGCGTTTGCAAATAAAGATACGCACAATTCGCGCAGATACAGATACATTTGCAGACAGCGATAAAGAAACGCAAATGTGGATGCTTATTGCAAAAACTATAAATAATCCCAAAGTGTGTGTGATTAACTTTATACAAAATTTCGGTTTTATAGAGTGGGGGTTCTCCTAAGGTCGTTTGCTTTCACAAGTTTGCAAAAAAATATTTTGCCATTTTCTTGTTTGTCTTACTTTTTGTTTATTTGGGCCAGATTAAGGAAAAGTACTTGAAAAAGCTAAGTTGCTGTTTAGCCGTAAATCACATTTAATTTGTTTATAACTAAATGCATTTAGATTACGGTTTCAGTGATATACCTCAAAGGTGTTGAAATCATATCGATAATGAGTTAAATTTAACTCAATTAGCATCTGAATAGTAGAAAATTTGTTTTTTTCATCATTTGCTTTTGATCGCTATTTGTTTGTTTGAAATAAATTTATTTCGTATTTAAACAATTTATTATTTAATTACTTTCACCAATGAGACATTTAAATTCACTTATTCCTCGGCTCCCTGCCAAATGGAAAATGATTTCAATTTATTTTCAAAGATACCAAATATTTTTCCACATTTTCACTAGCTCGGGAATAATTTTTTAAACCGCCTTGGTTTAAAGAAAAGGGCAAAAATCTGACGCTAATTATGAATTTCGGCATTTCCAAACATCTAACCTAGTAATATAGAAAACCATTTTCTTCTCTGCTCGACAACCTTTAAAAAGTTCATTAATTATTGGGTTAGGAACAGACGCACTAAAGACAAAAAGTCAGAGAAATATTTTGCAATATTTGAAGAAATATTTCAAGGAACAACAAACTTACTTAAAAAGAACTTATGTAACAGCATTGAAACAGACGAGAATTACGCACCTTATTTTTCTGTTTGTTTGCCTTTTTTCAGTTTTACGATTCTTTTTTTGGACGCGTTGAATATTTCGTTGATTTTAAAAGAGTTACACTTTGCACACTTCAAAACTTATGGCAACAGCAATTCAACATTTTCATAAATTTTTGGATTTTTTCTTTTCAAAAGCACAACACTAACCATATACATTTCTGGTAAATATTTTCTCCTCTTCGAACTGGTTGTAAATTAATGGATTTTAGCGGCCTTTTCAAATTGTAACGACTCTCTTGGCCAGCAATACTTGGATTTCGAAATGAACTTTTCGTTTTCAAATTTGCTATCCGTTGAGATTATTGTTTCGATCTTCTTTGGACACGGTTTCACACAAGACCGGAACATTGAGACGCGATTACGGACGCGATCACGATAGTGGGTTCGACGATTAGATGGTTAGGATATGACAGATGAATGGGATGGTTCGAAAAATTCGAAAACGCTGCGATGCGGATACGGCTGCGGATAAGCGGACTTCGAGTGCTACTGCGACTGCGGACGCTCCGCTCACTGTGTGTTCCCAAAGCGTGCTAGTCAGAGACTGAAAAACTGAGCAGAGACCCTGTCGATGGGGCGCTTCGACGCTTCGTGCGTTCATGCCGAGCACTGTTGCTGCTGTCGCGGCAGCGCGAACGAGAGAGAGAAAGTGTGCGGCGGGAGGGAGTGAGAGAGAGAGAGTGAGTGAGAGCGAATCAGGTAAAAGAATGGTCAGCTATAGTCAATGGAACTAATATAGCAGGGTCCTAACTGTTAGCATCGTTCGGTTTGACCGTGATTCCCAATTCATCCTTCTGATCTGACGAATTTGCAGCTTAAAATAATAAAACTTTGCTAATTTTTTGATTCATTCATTATCAATATTTCTGAGTATAACACAAATTTTAGACACTTTGTACAAGTCATATATTTAATTTGGCTCACCTTTAATTTTTTTATTACATAAAGACAAGTGATTTAAAACATTTTCAATACAGTTTTTAATGATACCCACCTAGTAATATTTTTATTTTTATTACCTAAAAAGATCATATCATATTTTCATACTATATTCATAGTATGGGATTTTACAAATGTTCTTGAATTTGAAAACCATTTTTTTATCAAGATATATTAGTATTATATAATAGCACATTTTTCTAGACTTAGCATTTCAATTCTGACAATCTAACCGTATTAGAAAGGTTGCTCCATTTCAAATATTTGCGCTTGAAAGTAGGCTTCATATATTATAGCAAGACAACGAGGTATCCAATAGTCGGAGGACTTAGTTAAGTTTTTTATTATATACAAATTAAAGAAACAAGGTCGCGCAGTTAAATTTAAAAATTAATTCAAGATTTATTTAAATAAAATCTAAAAGTCGCAAGTAGAGCTTCTATAAACAAAAATAATTTACATTTAAAGCTAGGTCCCATAGCTTTATAAATATGAATAAATAATTAAGTGAACGGATCATTTGTTTTTAGCTTTGGTGGTATTCTGCGCTCCCAAATCAAGGGTCCCAGTGATAGATCCCCATCACGTGCCAGTTTGCAGCCTGACAGTGAGAGCGGTGTGATTATATTCGCTTTTTCCCCGATTATATTTGTGTTTGCTAGCTGGCTGGCGGTTGTGCTTTTTGGCGCGTAGACATTTTTCAGTACTTTATTCGTATTTCGCCAGCGAGCGTTGATTTGCACAATTACCAATTAACTAACGTCCCAAAGTGCAGCGATGAACGTCAGTTAATGCTCTGCGGTCGTAATATCACCTGTGCATCAGCTGCGTGGGAGAACTAACTGATAGGAGGTGCTAATCAAAACGATTCGATAGTATTGATAAGCTATAAACTTTGACCAGCTAATTTGCCTATCGTTGCAGTAAACCAACGATATATCAGCAAATCTATTTCTGGTCACCGGAACCCCTTGCTAATTTTAAGTCTTGACAAAATGGTAAGAAAAGTGTAGCCAAAAAAAGCAGCCCACGTCAAGTGAAAGTTCATTCAGCTATGCGCAATTTTCTTTGAATAAGTGTTATCTTATCTATTAGATGGCGCTTATGAAAATAATCACATGGTGAAAAATGTATGTATATGCATTTGACGGTGTCTATGGCAATATACAAATGGCAGAAGTATGCCGGAGGAATCGCCAACGTCATACTTGATGAGTACGTCAGTTAGTGGGCGTTGCAGGTGGTAAACAGAGCTGGTTGGGTACCGATTAGCAGAGCCATAAAACAAAGACTTTAATTGTATTTGACGTTAAAAAAACTATATTGATATAAAATATCAGTTTTTAGAAAGCTTAGTACATAGTACATTTTTTATATCGAATGTTAAATAAATTTATATTGACAATTAGTTGTACAAAATATTCAAATTAGTATTTTAAATCTAATAAATTTATATTGACATTTATTTGTAAAAAATATACAAATAAGTATTAGTGTATAAGTATTTTTAGTATTTTTAAATGTAACAAAAGTCAATACAACATTTTAAAAAATGAAAATTCTGAACTTAAAGATTTAAGTTAATTTATATGTTTCTTCTTTTGTTAAATGTTTTTGTTCCTACCTTACCTTACCCTATTTGTAAAACTTTAAACTTAAAATTGTTTTTGAAATGCTTGTTTTTAAGTGGTCTAAGTGATTTTGCCAGGCCCCAGAAAGGTCTGGCCCCCAAAACAATTAACTCAATTAACCGGAATGACAACATTTTGTGCCCGAGAATTTGACGCCTGTGAAACAAGGAAGCACATGCCAAATATCCCAATTCCTGGTTGCTCCTATAAATAACCCTCGACAGGGCAAGGGCAAACTCCCCCGCAGTTTTGGAAAGCAACCTTTTGACTGCCGATCTGCCCTTTGCTCTCTCCCTTCATTCCCCATTGTCCTTCGGTATGCAGTCAGACAATTAAAATGATTAATTATGCGCAGGAGCAGCGGCAGCAGCAGGACATTTTCGGGCTAATGACTTAATTAACCCGGGAGTCGAGTGTTCCAGCCTAATGTGCTCGCCTCAACGACTTTGGACCCTTTTTCCGCGTAAACCGTACAAGTGGAAGGTGCATGGCAAGATGTTAGTTTAATTAAAAACCGTGGCCAACCGAAAATGTGGCAAGTGATGCCCGTTGAGGTGTTTAAATAGTCCAATCCAGCAGCTGCTTTCGGCCACCCCCACCGCTCCACTGATCCTCAAAAACCTGACTGCCAGTGTTTTACACCTTGAGCCGATCGCACGCGTTTCCCGAGCGATTAAAAACGCGCCAGCGATTCGCCTCAAGGTTGGCGGCTTTTTCTTGTTCACAGATCACAGCTGAATCGTATTTAGATTGCTATCAGTCCGATATTCAATTACAGAATACATATTGTCATGTCCAGTGTCAGCCAACATGATTTCACAGTGTGGTAGCGAATAATATCTGAAGTTATTTCGCCGATATGATTGCGTATCAATTGATAGCAGATCGCCAATCAAAATCACATTCAGTCAATAAAGTAATTTTGGTGAGGAATTCCGTCGCAAAGCATTAACAGCCATTAGGCTTCCATTAGTCGTAGGTGACTTATATCGCAAGTGGATCGATCTGAACGCAATAATTTATGTTAATAAAATTGTAATAGTCGCCTGTCAGCAAATGGCGACGAACATGCAGCCAGCAGCCGACACACCGACTGACAGAAAGTCAATTCAATGCGAATCGAATCGATTCGAATCAATTAAAAACAAATCTCAAACTGATTGTGTCGCCAAAGGCTGTCTTTTGTCTTTAGCCAAGTGACCAGCAATAAGACGGATGCTGATACGAAAACACGTTAACCCCCCAGAATAACTTTTCAAAATATTATTTTTTTGAATTTCATAATTTTTATTCATTTAAGTTAAAATTTTATTTAATATATTTTCAGAGTATACTTCGAGTGATTTCTCAGAAAACTCTTTAATTTAAGTCTAAGTAAAAATTCCTAAAATCGCACTTAACAAAAAAAAATAGTAAAGCGCTTATAAACAATCTTTCACTCTGACTGATTTTACAATTAATAAAAAACATTGATTCTTAAATGAATAAACAAACACAAAAAATTAAGCAAAGATTAATTAACAATTTTTCAAGTCATTGATTGTATACTAAACAAATAATTAGATGTGGAACAAATGATTAATAAGTTAATGGATTTTGTAGACTTTTTCTGACAAAATATATAACAGGAATATATATAATATCTTCCAACGGGTTAAGGCCAATGCAAATTATGATTACTGTGAAATGCTGTCGTCGCCACCAAGTCGATTGGGGGTGGGGTTTTGGTTGAGGTCGGAATATGGATTATGGAGTGGAGACCCGAGTGAGAAATGCCCCAGCTGGGTGATCGATTATGGTGGAAGTTATACTGCGGCGGTCGCTAATCACAATAATTGATTTGTAAATATTTTGATTTAGATTGCAATGCTAATTATGATGGCAGCCACTGCCGCCATAAATTATGAGTGCACTATCCGACAGGGCCTTGAGTCTTCACGCAGATCTATCGGAACAGAAATTAATCAAAAGTCCCGCCGCACACGGAAATTCGAACGGCTCTTTGTTTTGGCAAAAAGTTGGTGGCGTTAAAACAAAAAACATACGTCATGTGCTGCCTTGAGTCCAGATAATTAGGAAATTATACCGCTAACATTAAAAGGTATGCCTTTTCAAAATCGGATTTTCGGCAGAAAAGTTGTGGCAAAAACTTTTTTTTTAAATTTGGAAATCATTAAATACCCAATTTTCTGTTCAATACTGGTGTTTCCTATTATAACAACCACTTGGCGGGTATGTATAACTCCTCAATATATAGAGTAGGAGAAATCGAAACAAGTTCAACTCCAGTTCACCGAAAGAATTTCCTCCTTTATAGCAAAAAAATATTTCTGGGCAGGCTTTGCACTTGACAGTTAAAAAACATGGTGCGAAAGTAAGAAAGAAATGTTTACCCCCTTTTTTGGGTACCTAAGCATTTCTCAGTTTTGAAAGTCACACTGAAATTGAAAGACTAAATTCTTAGTAAGCATTAAAATACAATGCCTGTACTGGAAATGTTTGTTGTTATGGACAACGTCTACCATGGATTGCGAAGATGCCTCGGCCCAGAAAAGTACTTACTATTAACTCAGTTCTTGAAGTAAAGATTTTTAGATTATTCTTTCTTTTATAGTCAAACTGGAGCGCCCAACATGCCAGCTCATTATGCGGTGAAAAAATTGATCAAACACCGTCGCAGGATTGTAAAGAGCAAACGCAGCTTGCGAAGGAATCGTTTTCCCATCAAGGAGAATAGCGAAGACAGTGTTAGCTCCTCAGGACTAAAGGAGTATTTTACCAGCAGCGAATTCCCTGCTCCGATGACCTTGAGCCGTAAACCGGCCATAACTCCTTCGATAAGTCTGATAAATCGCCGGCGACTCCAAAACCGTCCGTTGATGTCAAATGCCCGCCAAGTGCTTCAAATTCAGTGGGGAGGTTTTTGGCAGAGGTGCTGGCCCACTCTCATGACAGCCACAATGCAGGTGAGTTGGTTATGAACAATTCAGCAGCAATGTTATTTAAATCCCAACTACCTTACAGATCGGCTGCGGGTCTTCAGTCTATTGCCATTCGCTTTTGGGGTTGTGCGACGAGGAGGAATCGGATCCACCAATTGTTCTGCTCACCTGCTTTTTGGGGCAGGCTCTAAAAATGGTATTTTAATTTACCATGAATCTACAGATACATTGTTTCTTATCATCCGTATCTCCTAGATATACAATCGGACTGACTTGGCCCTGAGCAGCAATGGCCACGGGCCCACTTACATCACCACCTCACCCGCCATGGAATTGATCGACATTCGCGAATTATTTCAGCACATCAACAATGCCCTGGTAGACTATCTTCTCAGGGTCGATGAATCCAAAAGCGAGCCCACGGAGTAGAATGAATAACTTAAAAATCACCAAAACAATTTTTGAATAATTGGATTCTATAAACTCAAAACAGTCAGCTAACCGAAAGACAAGCTTTGCCTTTGTACACTAAAAATAATACATATTTTAGACTACAAATATTCCAATCGAAATAAACATAAAATATTTATTATCTAAAATACAAACTTTTTAAAAGAATACATAACATACATTTAAATAAAAAGATTTCCAGCATCATATTTATATTCTTAATGATTGTCTGCTAATCTTAAATATACCTTTGAAGTCGCATACCCTTATGATACAAAAAACGTAGCTTAAATTGATGAATTCTTACCTTTTTATTAAAAACTGTAAATACAAAAATTATTTGACTTGCACAAATGACGAATTCTTGACTTATGTTACATTATCGCCACTTAATGTTAATCTCAAGATCAAATGCTCTTTTCCAACTATATTCCAGTGCAGTTTCTGATATTAAAAAACTTTTATCTCAGCCAATGCACTTCGAATTTAGTGTACACTTCGGGCCCCAAGGTGTGGCTTTCTACATAAAGAAGTCTGAATGGGACTGATAGATGGAATCACCAGGGGGAACCAGTTACAACCTATGATCTTGGAGTTAGGCACTAAATCCGTACTCTATATTGGCGGCAGGTGCTTGGATTGTTGGTTCTTGCAGTCATTATATAGATTCCCCTTTTCGGTTGTGGTAAGTAAAAGATTCATGAGCCAATTGGATGGCGCCTTCGAAGGGGGCAATGAATGTCATCATCAAGTGGCCCGAATCGCTGAAGAATTATGGGGGCGACACATGCAATGGTTGTCGGATGATCAGATCTGGCCGAGATTGGACCGGGATCGGAGTGGTTATGCTCTGCATTCCTTGGCGCGGGTGCTTACCACATGACGATGACAGCCAAATGAATCTCATTTGGTTCGCCAAAATATTTATGCATCGTTCGCATTGACTTTGATTTCGCTGCAGTTTGTTTCGGGCTTTCGGCTTTTGGGCCACGCCCAGAGATTTGGCGAGCTTTATTTATGGTTTCCATGAATCAAAAGAAATCTGTCAAACAAGTTTATGACACTTTTTTGCGCCCTCCCCCAGCCCCGCCCTCTCCTTGGGGTTTCGGCAAGCCGTTGACATTTTAATTTGGCAGCCATCGATGGCAATTTAATAAATTTGCTGCCTGATTTTAATTGGGTTCGGCTGGAGAAGTGTTGAGCAATTAATGATATGATCTGGTCTGGTCTGGGCCCAAGTAAAGGGCACCTTGAACTAGGTAATGGCATTGGGATAGTTGTGGGGTGATATAAGGGACTATTTTTGGATCAGGACTAGGGGTGTTTGTTACCTTTAAATCACCGAAAACATGGGATTCTACTGGGTTGAGGGTAAGTGCACAGGCCAATTCCCGAAATAAATTAGAAAACTTATTTGTAGATAACAGATGTAGTTCAAACTCCACAGGGTCGAACAAATTTCTACATTTCATATAGGCTTATCTTTATTATTTAAGCTTAATTTCTACGATCCTCAATTGAAGCAAAAGAAATGGTTGTCCTATATTCTTAAATGAATATTCCTTTAATAGTAGACAATTTTCCAAGTCGCGTTTCAAAGAAAATCAAATAAAAAACTACCATGCGTAAAGATCCCTTCAGATAGAAACATACGCTAAACAGAAAACTGTGATAGAAAAAATGCTAGAATCATATAGAACCATTAGGAAGATGGTGACCTCGATTACATCAATATCTACCCACCTTTTTAGAAAACAACCTTTCCATCTTATCTTACTAAATTCAAATTTGGAAAAGCTTCTTGTCTTTGGGCTGTTGGAGGAGATTCTTCCACCAAGTCTCCCACAATCAGTCAAGCTGTCTCATAAGAATGTCGGAGACACTCAATAGATTGCCTTTCTTCCACAATCTACATAAATGTGAGCAATTTTTATTGTGCCTGCCAACGAAATCGATATCGATATCGCGGCTATTAACCAAATCAGTGGAACTTCTATCTATCGCCATACACGAGAAAAATTTATGTAACTTTGCGGCAATAACAATTAATAAAATTAAAAGAAAGACTCGTTGAGGTCCAAAGTTGGAGGCCAGAGCTCGGATTACACTCTTAACCCACTCCCTTGGAAACATGGGTATCAGAACTTAATCAAAGCAGATAAAACAAAAGAGCATTGAGAAGTTATCTTACGTATTATGCACAGGGAAAAATATTAGCATTAAAATTATAATAAATAAATTTGTAACTTACAAAAAAGAAAAATATTTTACCAGGCAAGCTGCAAATATGTTGTGAATGGAATATTTAGGTTTTTAAGATTTAAAACCTCACTTAAGGCTAAACAATTTAAGTAACTCCATGTGTACATATCAGATATTTTCAAAATATGGAACCCTATGTATTTGAATAACGGGACCATTTTAATGCTTTGCGACATTATAATAACAATAAATTTATTTTTCAAATGTAAATTTCTCTTGCTTTTCACCTCATTTATTTTGTTATTTTTTCGGTGGGTGGGCAAACACATAGCGCCGCTCGTAAAGTTGGCCAAAACCGGCCGGTGGCCAACAGATGGACCGTTACCACAGCCAAGATCACAAGGAGAGAAATAGATAGAGAAAGGGGGAGTCTGATCGGAGATCTAGGCAGATCCCAAGTCTAGACTGGTAATCCTTCGGAGATCTTGTCCGGCGATAAACTTGGCTCTGTGTCTGATTAGAGCGGCCTAATGTGACAGTCGCGCGGCGTTCCAGTTCCCTGAGAGTGTTTTTTGGTCACCTTAACTGTAGTTTGAGTGATGTAATTGGAGCGGCTTCTATTGGTGACCGCTGCCAGTTGGCCAGTTGCCTGGCTGCCTTTGCCTGGTTGCCCGCTTTCCTGGGCTCTCATAAATCACAATGTTAGAGGGGCCTCCGAACTTGCTACACGAAAAGGAAAACCGGCTTGGTCAGCAGCATCCTTGGCCAAGACCGCTTGGCACCCTTTTTTCTTTTCCGGAGGTGATGCATCAGCTCCCAGAAGTTGCGATCCCCCCGCGAGTCCCGCATGTTCCTATGAGATTTATGTGTGACAGGCAGCGCCTCTCGTGAACGGATTGCGTGTGGTCCCCGTCCCCCGTATGATTCTGTATATTTCCATTATTTGGGGCTCTGTTTATTCTTTTTAATTACATCTCAATGAACTTCGAGTGAACTGGCGCAACAGGTGGGCCCCTTTCTCTCACCTCACACAAAGTGTTCTTAAACTGATTGAGCCGCCCATCAAGCATTGACATTGAACTTTTTATATGATCGGCCAGTGATATCATCTACAAGGTTCCAGCGAAATCAAAAATCTTATTTGGTATCTTGCCCCTCTTGGGGATTTTTTTTTGTATTATTTTTTTTTGTCGGCTCGTATATCAATTTCAATTTTACCGTTAAATGATGCGGCAAACCCGAAGAATGTGCTCTGAGGCAACCCAACCCCCTCGAAAATATTACCTAATCGCACGGCCTAAAGACCCACAAGACCCATCGGATAGGAATCGAAGGCATCTCGGAACCACGGAAAAAAAATATGAATTGTTTCTACAATCTTGTACTACATAATATTCTAGTGTCAACAATATTAAAAATAAGATTTTGAATACCAGAAGTATTAGGGAAAGGTTTATATGTTAAGCTTTTTTAAAGAATTATTTTCCTAACCAACATATAAATATATATATATATATATATATATATATATAGATAAAAAGTAAAATGAATGGACACGGAAATATAAAATGCAATTAATTTCATTTAATAATAAACCATTTTCGCGATATTTTTCTTTGTGCATTTCCAGTTCCTGCGAAAACGATTTAAGTGCCAGACTAATTAACCAGTAAAGGGAAACCATCGCATGAATTATGAAAGAAAAAACCCTTGGGCCTGGCGCTAACCGAAATTGGTTGAACAACTGCGTTTTTTTCGGGACTTGCGAACACTAATTGAAACGACTTTATTACTACCAGAAGAAAGGTGGAACAGGAAAGCCAAATAAGAATTGCGAATTAAGCGACTTTATTCCAACCAAAAGAAGACCAAAATATTGAGCATTTATATCGATCGTTTTGTGGACTCTCGGTTGCCCTTGGGCCCTTTTACAAGCCAAGGCCCGTCGAAGGCGTCAACACAAACATTTTTATGTGCCAACGGATCTTTTGGTCCATCGGATCCTCTTTCAAACCGCTTGGCGCCCGAACGGTCACTTCTTTTACAACTTTCGCAGGAAATGGATTGGAAAAAGGAAACACAATGCGCAGCTTAAAAACGAAACTAATAATTTACGAGCTCATAACTGGCGAGTAAAGGAAACGAAACCAGCTAAAAAAGCTGGTCCTCAAGGCGGCCAAAGATCGAGTTTGTGGAGCAAAGCCCCAAAGTGTCAACTATCCTGGGTTATGAACTTCACCTGAATCGAACTGTGGAAAAGGGAGAAAGGGACAGACTGCGTCTAGGGTTTCGCGCGACAACGGAAAATCAAGTGAAATTGATATTTTCCATTTCGAAAACAGATGGAACCGTCGGGAACAGAGAACATTTCTATTGAATTTTCAAGAGGCGGGGAGTGCAACAGGTTTCCGTAGATCATTTTATCGTCTTTCAATGGGGACATTTGTTTTCCCATAAAATATTTCGACATTTTTATTGATTTCTAGTTGCATTTTTGTCATATTTCATGTCTGCCCCGCCGCTACAGTGAAATGAGTCACTGGAATTCTGGACTTTTGACGGTCAATAAGTTTATTTGTTTTGGTTTTTGCGTAGACCCAGACGCGTCACAAGCGGATTTTGGACATGCCCAATAAAAATCCCCAATAGTTTGGGGCCAAATATGCACTTTTGCGTCAAGAACTCACCGCAGAATTTCACGTCGGCAGGATTTTTAATTAGTTTCTGGAAATTATTGCCTCGAACCTGTGTGGTCTTAGGCACGTAGTCCCCTTTTCTTGTGACTCAAGATTGGCAAAAGTCAATCATTTACAATCGTATTGTCAGCTATGCGAAAATAATTTGGAAAAACACCCTCTCAGGTGTTTTGGCAACTTAGTCATATTTAAATTTTGCATAAAACATTATGAGCTGTAAAATATATTTCAAAGATACAATTTTTTTGTCGATTGTTTTGTTAACTTATAATGACAACTTCAAATAGCTGTTAGATCTAAAAACAAAAAAGAATTATTGTATTATAACATAACATTTACTCTTACATTAACTTTATTAAATATATTATAAATGTTTTATTTACATTTCCCCCCCTTTTTTTGATTACCTCTTTTAGTATTTATCCTTTGTTAAAGTTGGGCCACATATCAATACAAAATTCCTCTTCCTCCCTTTCATTTCGAATGCCCGCCAACTTGCCCGCAGGCAAACGTTTGTTGATGTGGCAACACTCTTATGACTACGTGACTAGAGCTGACGCGTTACGCGTTTGTTTGTTTAAGTTTATTTTATTTTCGGTTTTTATTGGAATTCGTAAAATATATTTCGGTTATGAACATAAAATAATTAGTATACAATTAAATGTAATGTAAATTCGTGAATAAAAACCATTAAATTATTTTCAGTTGAATCGAAAACGTTATAGCTATCGTATAAGTCGCACTACAGCCGATATTTAGTATTTCGATGACACCTAGCAACTCTAATTCCGCATCGCTTACTGACCTTACGTTACACACATCACGTCTTTCTATTTGTCACTAGTTTAGTTTTTCCTCGTTAAAACTCGAACAGAATGGCGAGTGCGGTGGCTAGATTAACGGTTAAAAGTGGCGCTATAATCGCCCAGCGATCGAGTGTAGGCGTGGCCGTTGGCCGATCGGTCAGATTCGCCAGCAGTACGTCGAATCCCAGTGGAATTCCGGGGAAAAAATCGCGACTCTTGCTGACATTTGTAGGTGGCAGTGCGGTAGCCGCCCTAGCGGCTTTCATTAAACTACGATCCGCGGGAAATCCCGTCAATGCAGTTAGCTTGAAAAGGCGCATGGTAATTGCAAAGTGAAAAGCGATAACAAGTGTGCCAAGAGTTTGGTGTGGAAAAGTCAATAATTGGACAAAAAAGACCTGCGCAGCTATTTTTAGCTTGTGGCATGTCGTTCTCTTACGTTAAGACGTAAAGTTCTACGAAACGCAACGGAAGTGTTTTCTTATCAGCTGTTTTAGGGTGTTTTGTTTTGCTCCGCTCGTTCGTTGCACTATTTTTGTTTTTATTAGCTAATCGGCGTTTAATTATACTACAATATTGATTGCAAGCCTAATTTATTTTCTTTACACGGCAACACAAATAAAGCCCAAAAGAATTCAGCTCAAGGTCGTTATATCTGATGTAAATTTGTTATTGTTGTGCGTATCCAAGTTCAATGAAATAGCAAGAGCCGCAAAACTATTTGTCAACCTGTTGACATTGTATTTGGGTCTACGAAAAAAAAACACAAAAAACATGTTGACGTGAGTGGCAGACTGATAAGCTTTTTTGTTGTGTGATTCAGGGTGTGAAGTTTAAATATTTACATTACGCGTTTTGGAAATGGCTTGTCAGAGCTTAGTTTTGAGGGCGGGGAATGCCCCAAAATTCTATATCTGACCGTTAATAGATTATTGCTTATTACCGTATTAAACTATTATGTTATAAAAGTATTGAATATAAATATTGGAAGATTATTAAACTGAATTGTTTTAAAAATTATAACCTAGCTTAGAAAATTGTATATTAATAATAATTGTTATTGTATTAATGTGAACAAAATAATAGTCCTTAAAAATGTTGAGGCAAGCCAACGAAATTTTAAGTAATCATTTAAATAAGATAAACATTTGAAAAAAAAATGTTATTATTGTGTTAGTCAATAGAATCCAAATGTTTTCAGGGAAATATTTTTTCAGAGCTCTAGATTTCCTCTCCACTGATTTTAGATCTTCCTCCCAAATTTGCATATCTTGTCATCGAAAATATTTAAAACTCCCAAGGCTGTAACCATTTGGAATAAATTCCAGCGCTAACGCCACACACCTTGAAAAATGCCTGATGAAGTGGCAAAGTAGTTAGTCCGATACGCCCACGCACCTGCAGGCGGCAAATAATACGTAGTGCAGCGGAGATCACTCCCCCGAATGCTGACAGAATGCCAGTTACTGAAAATTTATCTATCAATCGATCTGGTTGCCGATTCGATACACCCACCAATATCCGTGGCAACAATAATGCCCAATGCCAGACGCAGGCGTGGCTTCGGTTTCGGTTGCAATATAAGCCTCAGTTTGGAGCCCGAGTTTTGGTTTTGGCTTTGGCTTTGATTTGGTTATGGTTTTGGTTTTGGCCTGGCCCTGACATGTGTTATGACAACTGCGGCTGCGACTGCGCCTGATGATGATGAATGAGTTTTAATTGTTGCCTATAAATCCAGAGCCTGCAGCCATTTCGGTTCTCCTTGTTCTTGGGACGCCCAATACAGTGGTTAAATAATAATCAAATTTAAATACCAATTCTAAATGTTAAAAAAAAATATTTATGAATCATGGGTATAATTTTTATATTTACATTTTGAACTGAAGTCCGTGGTTTATTACTTTCTATTTAATGATTAAAGTCAGATGCTATGAATGATTGAAAACTATCATAGTGAGTAAACCTTTTTATCTAATTATATTTTTGAAATGAAATCTATAAACTTTAAAAACACTTTATTTTCATTTAATTCAACTAAAATCGCAGCTAAATAAGTTCAAATGTAAAGTTAATTGATGACTAAATTATATTTTTAAGTTTCAAAGTTAAGTTTAAATATTAATCAGTCGGTTTTTTTTCTAGCTTCAGCTATGTTTCTGACTTATTATAGTTATAACGATTTTTAAAAATTTGAAAATATATTTTTAGCCATCACTTAACCTTAAATATAAACTTAGCTATTCTGATTTAAAAGAATTTTTATATATTTTACTTCGAGGATAATTGAACTTACCCATTTCGTGTCTGCAACCAAACTACTGTATCCTCTGATGCATTCTGAATGATGTCAGCTTTGGATTTATGAGGAATTGCCCCTGGCCCCCACTGGTTTCTTGGGGGCGTGGGCGTGGCCGCGAAGTGTTTGCTGCACATGTCTAACATTCAAAGTGGCCTTTGTTCGGATCAGTTTTTTGGGGACAGGCGGCAGACAGCGTTTTCTGGTGTCCCCAGAGCGAGAGTTATGGCCTGGGAGTTGTCTTTGCACCACAAATAAAATACAATTGAGTCATTCGCCCTGTCTACGAGTATGCGGGAAAAATGATTACTTGTTGTGGGTGGCATTAAATGTCAGATTTATGGAGGATCACCGGTCCCAACATGTTCTCAAATCAATTTGACACTTTATTTGCCAAACGGCCAACGTGGGAATCCTGTCTGGCGGCTCGTCAAAATCTGAATTTCGAATAAAATGCAGATCATACATGTAATTCCCGATGCATGGGGAGTACGGCAAACCGGATCAAATTAATATTTTTGAGCGCGACTGAGGTGACACCTCCAGGCATTAATCAAAACGTCAGCAGATCAAAACCGTCCAGATTGCAATCGCAGCTTTTGTCTCTGGCGGTCTGCCTTTGTGACCAAGCGGCGGAAATTCGGATCGCCACGATCCAATCGTTCGCTGATTTATTTCAATTACATTTCCCACCAAATACGCACATCGGCATATTAAGTTACCATCCATCGATGGCCTGATTAATCTCTTCCAATCCTGATCCCGCAGCGCGACGATAGCGAGTTGGAGAATGTGAAGCTAACGGCTCGGGAGCGACGCTTCATCAAGTTCGCATCCGTGGAGTTCGATGATCAACTCTACATGACCCCGCAGGACTTTCTCGACTCCGTCGTAGAACAGGAGCCTCGACGTAAGTGCTTATACAAAATTATTAAATGCCTTTCAATAGTATAATTTATCCTACAGCTCGCTTAAAACGTCGACAGCTCTCCAGCGATGAGGTTGACAAATACAAGGACGGTACTCCCGCCTTGAAAAAGGGTTCAACTCGACTATTTCGCAACCTTAGAGATAAAGGTAATAATGCAAAAAAAAAATCACTTGTAAATTTAAAAGACTTCTTTGAGAGTCTATGTTAAGAATATTTAACTGAGCTTAAAGAACTTAATTTGATGTTCTTATCAAATGTAAACCTATAATATCATTAACAAATGTAAAAATGGTTTGTTTTCCATTGGATAGTTAATAGTTAATGTAAGGAGGCAAACAAAAATAATACTATAGTTACAGGAGAAATACTCGTTTTTCTCGTGGAATCTAGTCAGTTATCATGCGATTTCAAATAAATTAGAATTGTCAAGCGAGGTTGATTGTAACACTGGCCATTTCAATCAATTCAATTAGCAAACAAGATCTGATAAAACCAGCGCACTGAGTTAATTTATTGGTTGCCCCAAGATTACAAATGCCTAAGTATTGTATTGTATTATATTTTATTTATTACTATACTATGTAGAATTGATTAAAATCTATTTACTGACTTATATTTTATTGAGGTAAACTTGTTTAATATTTTTAGGCATTGTATCCTATACGGAATATTTGTTTTTGCTCTCCATTTTAACAAGTAAGTTTATCAAATATATATTAAGTTGGTGCTTTATATACAAGTTACCCATTTTTTTTAGAGCCAAAATCTGGGTTTCGCATTGCCTTTAACATGTTCGACACCGATGGAAATCAGCGGGTGGACAAGGACGAGTTTTTAGTGGTAAATAGGGAATCTTGTTTCCCATCGCTTACTCATAACTCATATGGGTTTCTAAAATTGATTTTATTTACTTATTATTTAATATCATTTTCAAAAATGTGTTTATCATTAGATAATTTCCATTTTGGCCGGCGCTTTAAAAGACACTCAAAATGTAGATCCACAAACCAAGCAAATTGTAAGCATTTCATTTATTAAGTTAAGCTATAATTTAATGGTATTATTTATGAATAATGAAAACTCATTTGAAATAGCCGGCCCTAGGGCGCTGAAGTAAGCTGCACATCACTTATACTTTATCTTTTAGTTTTTTATTTTTACCTCCTGATTTATGTGTATTTTATTTTATCTGTTACCCCTGAAAAACGATTTCAATCGCAGCTGTCGCGTTTAGTTTCCTACGATGAGCAAAGTCAAATGACGAAGCCGATGGCAGTGCCACAAACCAAAAGGGGTCTAGTAAGTGTTAGCCACCAGAGTTCCCCATAAGTATTGGCTTTGCTTCGCGAAAACTCCGCTCAAAATGTACAGAACTCGATATACATATGCTTGGAGCATATGTAGAAGCTAAGCTTAGTTTCGTTGTGTTACTTCGAATTCGTTACCTTGTGTTTTGTTCTTTTAACGAAAGATTCGTTTTTTACTTGCTTTGCTTCCAGTTGTCTTTGTGTTTTTAAAAAGATTATTTTTTTAGAGTTTCTGTTTCGTTTCTAGCTTATGTTATGTACAATTATGTTCCTGACGCTTTTTGTTTTGTTTTTACAAACAAAAACAGGCCTACACCCTAGAAATGCTCCACCACTGTGTTGACCCTTACTAAACCACCTAACTTTTCTTCTCTCCAACCTAACCCCAAATCCTGCACAAAAAAAAAAACACTATCCCCCCAAAACCGGCATGTATATAAAATCCCAGATGGAGCGCATTTTTAGCGGCGCTTGGAAGGAGAAGCACGGCGAGAAAGAGCCGGAAGAGGAGCCCGAGTCCTCAATGCCCACTCCCCTGGAGGTAAGGTCTTCCCGAGTCCCAAGCATGAGCCTGGTGTGACTAACTAATGGGTATTTCTAGACATACAACACCTAATCCTCTATGCCTGCAATCTCTTCCAGCAGAACTATGTGAACGATGGCGAGGGACTGCAGCGGCGTCATATGGTGCCCACCACCTTGCAACTGCACTTCTTTGGAAAGCGGGGCACTGGGGTGATCAACTACGACAACTTCTACCGCTTCATGGACAACCTGCAGACGGAGGTCCTCGAACTGGAGTTTCACGAGTTCTCCAAGGGCAACCAAGTCATTAGCGAGCTGGACTTTGCCAAGATCCTGCTGCGGTACACCTATCTGGCCACGGATGAGTATGATGTCTTCCTGGAGCGACTGCTCGAGCGGGTCAAAGATGAGAAGGGCATATCGTTCCATGATTTCCGGGACTTTTGTCATTTCCTTAACAATCTGGATGACTTCACGATCGCCATGCGCATGTACACTCTGGCTGATCGGGCCATTTCGAAAGGTTTGTGGCCTAGAAAATAACACTTTACAATAAATATATCATTCTCGTGTGCCCTCTCAGATGAATTCTCACGCGCTGTGAAGATCTGCACCGGCTACAAGCTCAGTCCCCACTTGATCGACACCGTGTTTGCCATCTTCGATGCGGATGGCGACGGTCTGCTGTCCTACAAGGAGTTCATTGCCATCATGAAGGACCGCCTGCATCGCGGCTTCAAAGTAAGTGGTCGTTTCTTTGATTACAACGAAGCTCTGGATGGCTATGATGAACCCGCGTATCCCATGTTTGTGGCTTGGCAACATCGGGTGTGCCGGCACCTGGACTACTTCATTGACAGCGATGCGCTATGGCACTGATTTTTTAGTTTAATTTAAGTTATTCATTGTTTCGTTTGCCGCTTTTTGTCCTAATCTCGCTGACCAGCATTGAATGTGTGTGTTTGTTTAGTTTATTGTCTCGCCTGTATGCGTTTTATGCTTTAAGCTTAATGTTTTACCTCCTTTACTTATATTTAAGTTTTTTAGATAATAACCCAACTCAATTATATTTATTTTACATATTATTAATATTAACTTTATTTTGAATTGGCCATATAACCATTAAACACCGAAATATACACAGAATTGGTTTTTTATTTGTTGCACCTATGTTTGTCTTTGAAAAACATTTTATGAAATGCTAAGGACAGACCTTTGAACTGTTTAAATTTATTTTTGGTATCTAGAAATTGCTGTTTATTTTTATCATTTCCATTTTCATTAAATTGCTTGTCGGAGGTCTTTCATTTGTGACTCACTACACGTCTAACAATGAACTGTACGGCGATTATATTGTCCAGGCTAAAAGTCCAAGCACCAGCTGATAAGCAAAGCGTTGTATTTTCTTTCTTTAGCAAGATGTTGTAGACCCCGATGAGCGTATACAGCTTCCCATTGAGGTAGTCACGCCAAAAGGTGAAGAGGTCAGTGGGCAGCGGAAACCCACTTTCTTACTTTCTCTTGCTGCTTTTTACTCACTTTTGTGTCTCCCATTTTATTCTTCCAATCTTGTCCCCTCTCCCGTGGTCCAATACTAATCCTAAAACTATCACCTTACAGTCAGTGGCCAAATCGGAGGGCTGGGATGCCTTTAGATACTGTGTGCGCAACGAAATGAAAACCATGATGAAATCGGCCAATTAAAAGGACAACGTAGCTGAAATCGCACCGAACAACGAGCAAGCAACGCCAAAGTGAAACAAATTCTAGTTACAACATTATTCTTCTAAAGAACCAAAATCTCGTGTATAGTAATAGTGATTATGTTTGTTGGTCCCTTGAACTTTTTATGAATTTGTTATTGAACTAAGCTCCCATCTCTTGTAGCCAAAATTCTAAGAAATTGATTTATATTGGCAATTACTAAATGCCACCTTGTTATACATGTATAGCGCAAATAAAATTGTTTTGTAAAATTTGTATTACATATTTATTTAGTTTTGATTTTGATTAAGCTTAAGATTTCATAGAAAATGCAGCTCGTAATCAAGCATAAGTTGTCCGTCAACTGAAACATTCCATTCTTTAACTTTAATACTAAGTGCTTGTTTAGTAAATATTAAAAACTAAAAATATTTCGCTTCTCAAAGATCTCCAGAAATTGGCGGAGTGTTGGGATAGGACACTTAACTAATGGATAAATATACAATAAGTCTAAGTACTATAGATAAAACTCCAACTATTTGTCTAGATCAATTTGCACTTGGGCATTAAACAAAAAATTATAAATTATCACAGTTAAATTGCGTGTATTCGACAGACGACACACTTTACATTATTCTTACTATGGTATACAAAATAGTTTATCTTCATCTCATTATCGTTGAATATTTTTGCTAAGAACTGAAATGGGAATCGTTTTGGAATAGTTGCATATACACAAATTGCACAATTAAATCATAATAATTAAATTAATAAATGAACAAAACTACATCTTATCTATGCTGATCATTAGGGGTCTTTGCCCTAGTCTTGCGTTGAAGGCGGCAGCGTCCAGCTAACATACTTTTCCTTGTCCTGCGTGTCCTTGTGGCCACCGTTGTAATTGCGATTGCTTCCCGGCTTGGAGTAGCGCCGGAACTTAAAGTTGGCAAACACATCTCGCTTTCCATCGGGCTCCAGTGGTTGCCCATCCAGCTCCAGATTGCGCTGCAGCCCGACTCCGGCAATAGGCAGCTCATCGCTGGGCTTACGGAAGTTGTAGAGCCCTTTCCTTTGCTTCAACTGCTGAGCCTGACTGCTAGCAGGCGGCGGCGTCCTCTTTGGACTCCCTATCTTGGGCAGCGGCTTGGGATCCCGCATCAGCATGGGGAACAAGGCATCGTCCGCATCGAAGTACCACGGACGGGAAAAGTGATAGCCAGCACTGTAGTACGGCTTGAAGACCGGCTCGTTTGAGCAAATACTGAACGCGTGGTAGGCGTGCGAGATGAGCTGCGGAAAGCGGTCCACCCAGTAGTTGGTGAACTCGTGCGGAATGCATCCCAGCATCTCCTGGGCGGCTGGCGTAAGCTCGTGATAATGATGCTTCTTGTTGCGCAGTGCACGAAGCAAATCTCTCACACTGGCGCCCATGTAACCGCGATACTTCCTCAAATCGTCTGTGATCAACGGGTCCAGATGCACATTCCAATCTTCGAGTACCACAATACGGCCGTTCTTCTCCAGCGACTTGAGTGGCTCGGCATGGAATTGCAACTTCTCCACACGATCACTGACGTCCTGCAGGAACGAGAGCATTTTGGGCTCATCCCAGAACAGCGGATGGTTGCCAATACAGCGTGCCGGAGGGCGCGATTGTGGGTCCTTGTGTATCATGTCAGATATTAACTGCTCAGCAAGTATCTTTAAAAGAACAGGAAATAGAAATTAATACATATAAGTATAGCTTACAATTGCATAGCACTTACAATTCGACTAATCTCGCTGTCATCTTCTGTACGCAGCTTGGCTAGATTGAACTCATGCGAGAGTATGTTGGCCTGCCGCTTTAGAGTATCGCCAAAGGCATGGTGACCTCCACTCAGTACATAGTAGTAGACACAACCCAGTGAGAAGACATCCACCGCAGTTGTCTGTAAATAAAATAGAGATATTGCTCTAAGAAAATTCTGCTGATAATATGAGATAAAACAAATTAAACTAGTTTGGTAATAAATGAACGTAATGATTATGATCCTCTATTGACAAATTATTTATAACAAGGTGTGAGAACCTTATTAATTGTTTAAATAATCTTAACTTCAAATAAAGAATAAAGAACACATCTTACCGTCCGCTGGGACCGCATCATTTCCGGGGCTATCCATCCATCGGTACCAGTTACACCCGAGCGGCGTGAGAAACTGGTTTTGCCGAAATTGAGCTTCTTGCACAGTCCAAAATCGGAGATCATTACCCGAACTTTGCCCTTAGCATCTGGTAGTGATATCAAAACATTCTGCGGCTTGATGTCGCGATGCACAATGTCCAGGGAGTGAAGATGGCTCAATCCGGCGGAAGCCTGACTCAGCACCTGCCAAACGTCAATGTGATTCTGAAGCTCCAGCGAGCGATCTCCTTCGGTATAATCCTGTAGAGTGGCCGCGCACAGTTCGACGGCTATGTAGCGGAACTGGCGATCCTGTTCGGTGCAGAAGTACCGCACCACGTTCTCATGTGCATCCGATTCGCGAAGCAGGGCCACCTCGCGATCTGCAAATGTGAAGCATTCGGGCAACAGCCGCTTGACGGCTACGAAACGCTCCTCGAAGGTGCCCTTGAAGACGAAGGTTCCCTCGCAGCCCTTGCCCAACACCTCGTTTGTGCTGAAGCTGATCTTGCCCACACGCACCTGTCCGTTACCCAAGTCCACCAGGTCCTCGGCACTCGCATTGCTTCCGTTGCTGCCGGTGCTGCCATTAGAACCATTCTGGGCTATAGCAGAGGTTTTAGAGCCGTTTTCGCTCTGCTTTTGCAACTCCCGCATAGTGCTGCAGGTGTACCAGAACAAGGCAATCATGCCCAGAACTATGACAATCAGAATCTGATGCACCTTTCCGCTCGGATGCTCCATAAACCACTCGTTAATAAATGCCTGCACCTTGTTGCTGTTCTGCAGGATGATTGTCTTGGTCCGATTGATAGTATTTCCATTTGCCCGCTGATCCATGCCAATCTCCACCAGTTCCGGATCCGTTTGCACACCAATGTCGGCGGCATTCTTTTCGTTGTTCGCCAGCAGGCCGTAGCCATCGTTGTAGTTGTGTATGGTGGCCAGACTCTGAACCACCTTGCCGCTTGATGGCGTGGGTGATAGCTGCAAATTGCCATTTCCCTCATTGGGCATGTTGTAGTGTCCCAGCATAATGCCTGGATGCTCTTGCAGCACATCGTTTATGTAAATGGTGCGGGGATCGGTCTCCTGGTTGCTGTTCTGATCGCCCGCAGGTCCATCGAGAAGTTTTATTGGTGGCGACGTGGAAATTCGTGGAGTATTCTTGTCTACCAGGGAGGGAAGGGCATAAAGCCCTTTTTGGTGCTCGCCCACGTACAGCGATTGACTGGCAAACAAAGTGAATCTTTAGTATATGAACAAATAACTCAGAAGACTTTTTGCTTACAATAGCTTTACGGTGTTCACATTTCCAGTTTTAGACTCCTCTAATATGGCCTGGTAGGCCTCATCGGAGACTGTGGTGAATGGTACGCTGAGTAGACCATCTGGTCCCAAGAGAAAAGCGGCCACCACTGGACTGCTCAGATCCCGCTGCCACAGAAATTTACCCTGTTTGCGATCCAGGGTCACTATTTGTCCATTACTGGTGGTGGTCAGGTGAATGTATTCTGCAAAAGTGGAGAGAGTATCACTCACAGTATATTTTAATTTTATTGCATTCCACACTTACCATATTCCTTAGCCAGTTCTGGTGGGGCACTCACAGCGTTGTAGTCGTAGAAAGTGATATTCCAGGGCTTGGCATTCTTGTTCTTGGCCAGACTGTCAAACATCATGACCGTGTACTGGGTCCGTCCCAGATAGATGGCCCGCGAAGTTGCCCAGCCAATCTGCTCGCCCTCCTTGCTATCCACGCTGGCATCTCCGAAACCCATGACCTTTTCCCGCCTGCCTGTCTTGGGATCCACCATATACCATGTGTCGCTTTTCTTCCCAGAGTACAGGATTCCATCGGAGGAGCGGCAGGGAGCATTGGCCACCAGTTGTGGAATGGTGTACGGTAGCTTTTTAAGGCTGCCCATCTGGCCCAGCTGGTAAATGCTGCCATCCCGCGGATCGGGCAAAAAGTGTGGAACTTGCACATTCTCCTGAGGTTCCGCTACTATGGGGGGATCTGAAACAGAATATATATTTTAAAAGAATACCATAAATAATATAATATAATATTGAAAACAAACTATACTAAATGTTACAAATGCGAACTGACTTTATATAAATTTTAAATCTAAGGTTTTGCTCACTGCAGCGAATCAGTTAAACATCTTTCATTTGCGGTTACAAGCTACTTATAAAATACATACATAATAACTTATATAGTCCTGTTCCAAAAACATTCTTAAGCCGGAGTCTTACTGTACTTAAGCTACAAAAAATAATAATATTTCAAAAAACAGATTACATTTTAGTACTTGGTATTATGATTCATAAATGAGGCACAATTCATGCTGTTGATTAATAAAGCCAAGATTGGGAATAATCTAATTTTAATGGAGATTTACTTTAGTTAATTCCCAGAAATATTCTTATTAATTTATTAACTTATATAAAGATGCCAGCCAAATAAAAAGAGTGTTTTATGTTCTTTCTTAAATTCAAAATTATGAAAAATATTCAATAGATATGCCGTTTTTAAAAAGTGTTAAGCTATCTATCAAATCGAACAATTTTTACTCTCATTTTAGTAGATTATGCTAACTGTGCCCTGTGTATTTATATATACCATTAAATTACTTGATATTGTTCAAAATAACATAAAGCACTAAAGTAAAGGAAATGTTATAAATTATAACCAGAACCTGTTCTCGATAACGCTTATCTTGATGTACTTATAATAAGGGAACAAAAGTGTAATCTACAATAGCCCCTTTCAAAATTAAACCACACATTTTCTGTCGTACATAAAAGATCATGAGTATTTTCCAAAAATGCCCGAAAAATTAAGCGGGTTTTGGTGCGAGAGACAAAGTTAAGCCAAACAACAGTTGAGTAAATAAGAAATAGACCAGGGGAAGTCGTGGCTGATCATTTCCAATTGTTTACGCCAGCCGCGTTGGCAATTTTCATTATCGCCAACAACTCGCTTAGGGCAACAGCGCTAAATTCTGACTTTGGCGAATGCAAGTGCATGCAAATGAAGAAATAATTTAAACAAAACTAAAGTGTTGACAAGCGCATTCGTAAGTCCCTTCGCCGACAAAAATCGAATAATGAAAGCAAACAAATGGTATCCTTATCAGTAATTAGCTACAACCCCAAACACACGGCTGCGTACAAAACTCCGGCATTAGTCGAGTGTTGCCTCAATTTCTGGGCAGGTCATTTAACTCGCCCCGGCACTTTCATTAGCATAGGCATTCTAATTGGCTAGCGGTAGTCGTAGACAAAACCTGATTCCGTCTTGTGATGAGGTAATAGAACGAAGCCCATATAGAAACACTGATCTGCCGTGTTGTGCCCGGCGAAACGGTGTAATTACAGCGAATCAAAAACAAATTATTGGCTTGAATAACTCACAAAAATATATGGAAACCGCAGGTCAGATGCTGTCCACATGTTTATCGCCGTGAATTTTCAATCATTTGCAGTTCTACGAAGTCAGACGACAAGCAGCCAGCATGAAATTTCTAATAATACAAGTCGACATTCATACATATGTGTGTATTGCAGCTATCACACTAAATAATCTTTATGGGGCGTGGGTTTTTTGTTTCAAAAAAATTTAGAAAAACATGTGGAGGGCGTATTGTCCGGGGAATAATTAGCCATAACTTCGATTTCATTTTGGAATAATGACTGAGAGTTTTTCAAGCATTTCTTATCAAGAAGTAAAGAGTTTAAAGTGGAAAAACAATCACAAACCCAGTGGGAGCTATTAATAGCAAGAGCCCAAACGAACTGGGACCAAGTTAATCAAAAACGTCCAATGGAATTGAATAAATCGAAATGGGAATGCTCTTTATTTGGTTTAATAAAAAGCATTTTCGAAATTAATTCCATGGGTAATATAATTTAGTAAACATCATAATTATAGTAACCTACAAATGCATCGATCTAAACGAAAACTTTATCAACCACTTTAATCTGCTGTTGCTGTTCCCCGTGTTTGCCCATTATGACTCATGTGAGTATGGAGCTAACGAATTCCAAGCGAATCTTAGAGGTTAATACGAAACAGCACAATGACTGGTAGATTAACGTGTGTTGTTGCCATCGAAAATCAATACGTCACGCTGATAAATCGTAGGAATATTCAATGAACCGCAAGGAAATTGGCTCAAAGTCCCAACCACCCACAATGGGAAGGGTATGGGCGTACAGCAACTGGTGACATGGACTAGCTGGCAACTTAATTGGAGGAATCGTGTGCTGCCGAGAACGGTTGTCGAGATTGCGTATATACGTGCGACTCTTATCAGGCCACAGCCACAACACACAATACAAAACATACCGCGGCGAGAGTGAAAATAATAGAGCACCAATAGCGGGAGCAAGATCCATCCTAGGCTATTTTATCTGTGCGTTGCGAGTCTTGCGATGAGCTCATCGAGCGCATGTCTGTGCAACGCGTTTTCCACTTCAAATGGCGAGTGCAACAGCGTGAGGAGGTGATAATATCTAAGGCAGGGGAGGATGTACAAAAAGTTTGTTTAGCTTAGCTAAAGACATATTTCTAGGTATTTCTTAACTACGCATATACAATGGAAAGTTCCATAACAGTATGCCTAAATCAAAGTTGATATTTTTTTTTCAACATTTCACTAGCTAATAAATCATCTTTTCTTATCAAGTACCTACTTTATTTTGATTTTTGAGACATTTTCATTCGGAAATCCTTACTAATCTTAATTTCGATTTTAATTTTAAAAGTTTTTGTTGCTACATTATTGCAATTGACTTGAAATTAACCTGAATTTGATTTTATAATGAAGTCATATTTTACTACTAAAATCTATTTAATCTTGGTCAAAAGATGGTTATCTGGAAAAACTTCTATAAAATTTTCAGTTTAGAAATTAAGGACCCTCATAACTCAACATATGTTTCTAATCCCACACTCAAGACCGTAAAATAGGGGTGCCATGGAAGTCTATAACTGTAAGTGGCCGGCGTAATTACCATCTGCTATCGTCCAGCGTATTTCGCTGGTCACCGGATCGATGGCCGTCAGTCCACCGCCCAAAGTGGAGAACACCATCAGCGCCTCCTCGTCGCGTGCGAGGTCCGTGCAGTCCTGCGGGGGGAAAAGGGTAAACATATGACCAACATATCGAGGGAAAGTGATGAAATATTAATTGACGGGCCCAATATTAACCTTTAGTGGGTCATGCCGTCTAATGCCGCCCTCTGCTGCCCCCAACCGCCCCACTTACCGCCTTTTCATCCTCGCCGCTGCTGACGACTTCTGCAGAGTCGGCCTGTTTTGCTTTGACTATAGCTGATGCAATAGGCCCGCTGCCCAGCAAAAATAACACGCAACAAACCACAACGCAGAATCTCATTTTGCAAAACACTTTGCTTCAACAGCCGGTCGGGGGGTGGGGGGTAAAGAAAGAGCGAGCGAGAGGGAACTAATATCTGCGACTTCCGATCCGTTTTCAGTTTGCACTTGCAGTCACTTTTGGTTTGTTGTTTCTGGCATATTATCGCCTCTTTAATTGCTTTTCAATCTTTAAACACTGTTGCAGCTTTGGGTAATTTCACATTTTCTTTGCACTCGCGTTCAGTATTTTCCAATTACGTTCGCCATTGTTGAGAATTCGAGCGAGTGAGAGACCAGAGCGGGCGGATAGTTGGAGGTGGAAGATTATTGATATCATATTGGTGTCATCGATGTTTCCAAAACATCGGCTTTATCGATGTTTGGCGGGGCAACATCGATGTTTTTCCATCTCTGCTCTGCTTTCTCTCTGCTGCAGCGCTGCCTATGTTGGGAACATACATGTCAGCGATATTTTTGAAAAATTTGGTCTTGCTTAACAAGTCTTGGACATTTAAAAACTGATAAATAGTCACACCATTATTATTTAAAACCATCCGTGTACAAAAAGTAACCATTAATTCTTAAAAGCAATTATTTATTCAAGAGATTAAAAATTATTACAATAATTCAAAATTAAGGACATAATACAACAATGTATATATTATTTGAACACTTGCAGTTAAGTAAATGACCGCTTGTTTATTCGACTGGAGGCTGCCCACAACAACAACTTCGTTAGAGAAGAAAAATCGGGTGATATTTTGTTGGTAAGCTATTTTATTTGATTTCAAACGATGAAACGGTAATGCTGAAAAGGGCCATAAATATAAATGCTTATTCAATAACTTATTCACACTTACATTTAAAAATAGTTTTGGTTTTGCTGCGGCTCCCGTGTGAGCGGACTAGAACTCTGTACCGGCTTAATTCGATTCCGATTGTCTAGCCTTCTTCGATAAATTACACAATGCGGATTGTTTTTACGGGAAATTCGGTTTTTAAACGCTTACTGCACACGGAAATTGCCGGAAACTATGCCAAACAGCAGCCTCGCAACCTCAAGGGCCGGAGTAAGAGCTCCCAGGAGTGGCTCACCCGCCAGCTGGCCGATCCCTACGTGGAGAAGGCCCGCATGATGAACTATCGCTGCCGGAGCTCCTTCAAACTGTTGGAGATTGATGACAAATACGGAATCCTGCGCCCTGGGGACACGGTCTTGGACTGTGGAGCTGCACCTGGTAGCTGGACCCAAGTGGCCGTGGAACGGACCAACGCTAACGGAAAACAGGAGCGGGCGCCACTGGGAGCCGTCTTCAGCATCGACTTGTTGCATTTCCATGCAGTGCCTGGTGCCACAATCTTTGGGGGAATGGACTTCACCTCCTCCCTGGCGCAAAAGCGACTTAGGGAGTCATTGAAGGACAGAAAAGTCAACTGCGTGCTGTCAGACATGGCGCCCAACGCCACTGGCGTGAGGATGTTGGACCAGGAAAGCATCACGAACCTCTGCTACGAGGTGCTCCGCTTCGCATTGGCCATGTCCGCCCCGCAGGCCCATCTAGTGGTCAAGGTGTGGGACAATGGCGATGTGCCCAAGCTGGAGCGTGATATGCTGAGGTTCTACGAGAAGGTGAAGCGGGTAAAGCCGCGCGCCAGTCGTGGAGATTCCTCCGAACATTTCCTAGTAGCCAGGAACTTCAAAGGAACAGCGGAAAGCTAACTAAAAATAGTCTAATGCTAACGAAAGTAGTTAATAGTCACTTGTTTCATAATGTTGATAAATCCATAGTTTATAAATGATAAGATGAATAAAGGCGTGTTTCATTTTAACTCCAAGATTACAATGTACATTTTTCCCAGTCAGAAATGTTAGTAACTCTCCTATGTAGATTCAAATCACCCGATTTATTCAAGATAGTTACCATTATATATAAAGCTTTTTAAAGGAGACCAATTTTTAAAACCTAATTTAAGTGTGTCGCTCCTAGTGCTTGTAGTGAGTAAGGTGATTGATCATCTCGTACAGCCACTTGGGTTGATCGTGGGGAGCCATGTGCCCGGCATTGCGCACCATAATCTCCACCAGATGTCCGGCGTGCTTCACATATCCGGCCACCTCGCCATCAATGCGCCAGATCTCACGGGGAGCCACCTTGTACTTGTCAGAGCCGGGGAACTTAAGGTGGTTGAGGTAATTCCGGGTCAGTGGATAGGCCACAATGATGTCCAGCTGCCCGCTGTAGATGCAAACAGTATAGTGGGCCAGCAGTTCGGCAATCCACGGGGCCACGCTGTCCATGACATCCTTCTTCAAGTGGAGTTCCACCTTGTTCTCCTTGTCCAGATCGTGGAATGGCTTGTTGCCCACATGAATTGCCCGACGAGTGGCGCCCGCCTGCAGGAAATTGCCCAATATGCCGCCATCATCCTCATGCGTCTTCAAGTAGTTGTAGTACCAGTTGTAGCCCGTAAGATTGCTAAACAGTGAACCATTGGTGAGATCCCCGTTGATCAGGGAATCGAAAACGTCGAAGGCGCACTCCATGTCATGCTTTTCGATGCAGGCGGCTCCCTTGGCCTCGGCATCGTGGAAGCTCTGCAGACCGTGCTCGTCAATCAAACCCAACTGATAGAGATAGTCGCCATACTTCAGCTGGTGTAGCGGATCCGAGAGGCCATTTCCGATGGCCACGCCCTTGAGCGGCACATAGACGCGCGTCTCGATGGCGTTCTGCACCTTGTGAATGTGGTAGGCCAAGGCGGGCACATACTTCCCGGCATACGACTCGCCGGTTACCCAGAATCCAGAGGAGTTGCTCCACTCGAACAGCTCATACAGTTGCATCACAGCCTCGTGGAGATTGCGGCCCACGTCCTTCTCGTTCTTGGCATATCCGGCATCATCGTCCGTGAAACTGAAGCCTGTGCCCACGGGATTGTCGATGTAGATGAGGTTATGCGTCTTGCTCCAGGTGTAGTTTCGCTTTTGCGGCTTTCCATGGCCGTCCAGCTCGAGGGGACCGTTCTCCGTGAACAAGCCGAACAAGGAGGAGGCACCTGGACCGCCCTGCAGCCATAGGACCACAGGCGCATATTCCGGCTCCTGCTCAGCGGGGAAGTACCAGAAGAACATGTTGGAGTTGAAGCCGGGGTCCACGGTCAGGTAGCCGGAGTAGCTCTCGACTCCGTGGAACTGAGAGCCTGTGACGCGGGCAAGTTCCTGCACCTTCTGCTTGGACATCGAGGCGTTGTTGATCAGCGGCGTTAGGAACAAGGGCTCCCCGGGATCGACGCCATCCTCAAAGAACTGGAAGCGGGGATACGGGTTGATGAAGCTCCGCTTATGGGGGCGTTCCCCCTGATCATCTACAGCTCCACATATGGCGACTAGAGCCGCGATTAATATAAATGCGCAATGAATTGCAGTTTTCATTGTTAGGCGGTGCTGCTTCGACTGAAAAAACGGACGAAATTGTCAGTGTTTGCTTTGTTTCGGCTTCCAATGGCTGTTTACGCCCCGACCTACTCACCGATCGGCCGATAAGGGGTATTAATCAGTTCTTGCACTTTGCCTTTCTTCCTTTTTCGCAGAGCCGGCAAAAACTTTCACACTGATTAGGCAATTATTTTTTTTAGTATAGCCGCAGCGGTCAAATGGCTGAGTTGCCGAGTTTTGCATTTATAACAGCTGTGATTTAAATAAATAATAATTTAACTTCAAAATTCTTAAATTTACTTAAAACATTGAGTATCAGTGCCAAAATTAATATTAACCCTGTGATCCGAATAACATTTTCTGGTAAAATTTTATATTTAAATATATATATATACTATTTGTTCTTAATTTAATCAAAAAAGTTTAAAAGTGTTAAATTATTTGTTTCTATAACATTTTTCGGAATCTTTATGATCTTTAAAATTTAAAAATGTTTAAAGCTCACAAAATTCTTTAAAATAATAAGTGAATTAAAAACGGGTTTCAAATCTAAAGAATTTTTAAGGTTGTGTATTTTTGGAATTCCCTTAATATTTTGTATTTACCGTTAAAATTCAAAATTGCCATTCATAATACAGTTTTATATAATTGTATACTTGTCCCATTTATAGTTCTACCCCAGTAAACTCTCAAAAATATATCACAATATAGTTTAGCATCATATACGAAAAGATTCTTGATCGAGTGCCAAGTCAGGTTGCTGGAGGACAAACGATAAAAAACATCGATCCGGCAACGCCCGGGCTCTTGTGTCAAAATTGTAAGTTAGGTTGGCAGCACAGCAGCTGATTTTCCAGCGCCAAACAAAGTTTTAGGAGCAAAACACAATGTCAATCGCCGACACCATCGAATACGTGACCCTTGGCAATCCTGTCAGCAAAATGGTCGCCGCTTCAGCATCCGGATTGCTCCGCACCCTTGTAACTAGTCGAATTTTCCCACACTCCCTTCCGTGGCTCCTTACTAATTGTCCTTTTCTTCTCTGGACTGCAGGGACTGCGCCCGAAGAAGGTAACAGTGCAGGACACGAACATGGCAATGCATCCTGCCGCGCACAGCTACGTGCATCCGCACGGATCTCTTTACGGCTTGGCCGGTAGCCACTACCACTTTGTGCGGCTGGCCGGAATCGGCGGGGCGTCGGCCATCTTTATGGGCGCCTACTGCAAGTACGTCCTCAAGGACGTCAGCGATCCCAAGGAGCAGGTGGACTCGCAGGCCTTCGCCGACGTGGCCAACCGCATCCACTTTCTGCACTCCTTTGCCATGATGGCCATGCCACTTGCCCACTACCCCGTTCTCGTAAGTTTAATTCAGGGGAAACCCCATTAAATCATCTTTCGAGTATGTTTTAGGGAGCTGTAATTCCCGTGATTGCAACGGTCTGTGAATCTTAACTATCCTACTTGTTATCAAAAAATGTTATAAGATCTGTTTAAATTCTGTCAAGATAATGAAGATTAGTATTTAATCTATATGGTTTAAGCTATAAGTCAGTTTTAAAAATTTTTGTATGCTTGCAAAGCATGATAATCTTTTTTCCGTTTCATGCAATTTTCTTGTGAACTAATGTTAATTGCAATAGTCAGTGTCTTACTGATTAATAACTAAACAAAAAGACATGATAAGAACTTTTACACCATCTACAGGGGTGTATTTATTGATTCATTATAAAGTTTTTGCTTTTTTTTCGTGAGTTTGTTTAAGGCCTTAGAAATTTGGCATATTCTTAACCTTCGCAGTTCAGAAGATAGTTTACGCTTAATATGAATTTACTTGCATTAAAGTAAAAAATTAAAATTTGTATTATTTTTAAACTTTATGCGGAAACAAAAAGTAACCCCAAAAAACACCTCCCAAATTCAATCTCGATCGTATTTGGTTTATTTGTAAAGCTTTTCTTTGCCGTGTTTTGTTGTTTACATAAACTCTGTGTAAAGTTAGATCTGTGAACGGAATTTATAACAACTCGCGTTACTCTCGAATCGAAACGCCAACTGTGATACTCGTATAATTGACACTCTGCTTAGCTAGTCTAATGCGCTGATTGACTTTACAAAAATTGAACTATGAATGAATATTGATTTCGGCCAAGCGGCCCAAGTTCTTTTTTCATTCTTTATATAGTAGGTATGCAAAATGTATATTCATGTTGTATATGAAATTTTCCAAAGCTAAAGCTAAATGTTCAACAACCACTAATTGCAGCTTACAAAGTAATTTTCAATACCACACACGATACTTGTATAATTATTTGCATTAATTCGGATAATTCATAGATTTTTTGTGATATGAGCAGGTTCATAGCTGATATGGGTTCGGGGTCTTGGATAGGAATTTGTTAATTTACTTCAATATTACAATTGTGTTTAAAAATGTACCAAAAAGGCATAGATTCTCTCGTTTGTTTGCTGTTATTTTGTAATTGGTTTTTGTTGTTATCAGCCTTATTCGATAAGTAAAATGTGGAGCTTGCTCGCGCTCCCGTTTGTTCAGGTTAAAGCCAACAACTAAAGCTAACATCAAAATATGCACACAAAACATTTGCCTCCTTTGCTAACTTCTAATCTTACATTAAACTATGACTATGGGGCCTGTTCCGGGTTTTTGTTTATTGAAAATGTACGACTTTGGAAAGTAAATGCATTTTTAGATAAAGTGAGTAAATGAACATGCTTAAAGATTTCTCTCTTGCTGGTCAACCAAATTTTCCGTTTCTTATATATGATATTGTTAATTGTTTAGTTTGATTCCTGAATGTGGACATTTTATTCCTATAAATTCATTTTCTTGCCTCCAGAACAATTTGGTAAAGTTAGTATCCTAAAATCGTTTGGTTACAATAGTCGTTAGATTCGATTTGCATTCCGAAAATAGAGGAAATGGGAACAGGCCTCGACATGACTTTGATAACTTTGAGTTACATTGATATATTTTCTCCCGCAGACTGGGACATTGATGATTACGGGCACGATGCTCTTTAGCGGATGCATGTACTACCGTGCTTTGACTGGCGAAAAGCGGCTTCAGCCGTACGCGACCGTTGGAGGATTCTGCCTGATGGCCGCGTGGCTGACGCTGGTCCTGTAGGCTGATGTGCGGAAAGGAGGCTACTTATTTATATCTTATATAGCGCACACTGAACAGTTATGTAGTCGGAGAGGCAGCTAAAGCTATGCCAAGTTTAACATATAACATCAGCTAAAAATGAATCTCGTTTATGTTTCTCTAACTGGGACTGGCAGCAGTTTACAATACATATACATACTTAGTTTTAAAGTGAATTCTAGGAGGGCCTTGCAGCTAATGGAAGATACTTTTGAGATAAATGCGTACAATTTCTTAGAGTATATAGCAGTTAGCCGAATGTATATCGCGAAAATGAAATAATCAAAATAAAAACGTGTTAACAAAAGAACCAACCGAGCAGTTACATTTATTGTATACCTGTACATCAATAAATTACTATAAAAACACACATATATTAATACTAGGCGTAACATTTCATAGAATTCTCCTTTTGTTTTTGTTTTTTTTTTGGGATTTTGTTTCTTCTTTTTTTTGTTAAGGTTGTTATTGTCGTTTTACTGGAACACATAATACAAATGCAATGCGACCTTTTGAAGGCCAATGCACAAAGTTCAGCTAAAATTAATTATTGCACAATTTGCGTTTCTTATCATTCTTTTTTTTTTTAAGGTATAAAAACATTTACTCCCTACGCTCGTCTAACATCAGCTTATTGTCTTGCTGTTTGATTTCTTATCAGTTTTCTAGTTTTATACACCTGACTAACAATTAATTTGATTTGTACACGTATTGTAAAAAATTCCTCAGCGGCGGCCGCTCAGTGTGGATGTCTGCCGGGGCCGCCGATGCTGTGCTATCCTAATAACTTCTGCTTGGAGGCCTCCGCAAAGAGGAAGGTCTTCTGAATGCCCGCATTGGCCGCCGGATGATTCGTAATTGGTTCCAGTATCTTAAGTATGTAGTCTTTAAAAGCCTTCGGCACGGCGAAATGTCAAGAATCCTTCTTGAGTCGCAGGTTGTCATCATGGGCCTGCAGGGGATACGATTGAAATGATATTGTATGGGAGAATGTTAATGGTTCTTTTTATACAAGTAAGTTTACCCACCTTCTGTGCAACCTTCAGCAGGGCATCGAATGTCGAGTCTCCCGTCTGCTTCACCATGCTGTGGAACACCTTCTTCTCGCTGGTTGTGAGTAACTCGAACGGAGAGCCAAACTCCACCGCCTTTCCAGCATCCATGACCAGCACCTTGTCCGAATCCATCACGGTGTGCAGACGATGGGCGATCGTGAGCACCGTGCAATCCTTGAATTTGTTCCTAATTGTCGTCTGGATGAGAGCATCCGTTTGCGGGTCCACGTTGGCCGTGGCCTCGTCCATCACAAGGATGCGATTCTCGCGGAGAATGGCCCTGGCTAAGCACACCAGCTGGCGCTGGCCCACGCTGAAGTTGGTGCCACCCTCGGAAATCTTGCTCTGCAATCCGCTGGGAAGATCGGCCACCACATGCTTCAGCTTCACCTCCTCCAGGGATTCCCATAGCTTGGCGTCGTTAAACTCGTCGAAGGGATCCAGATTGTAGCGCATTGTGCCGGAGAAGAGTACCGGCTCCTGGGGAATAATGGAGATCTTGCTGCGAAGATCATGCAGTCCCAATTCGTTGGTGTCGCGGCTATCGATCAGGATGGCGCCCTCGTTGTAGGACAGTCGGAACAGAGCGTTGATTAGCGAGGATTTGCCGGCACCAGTGCGTCCCACAATGCCCACCTTCTCGCATCCCTGGATGGCAATGTTCAGGGATCGGAGCACATAGTCGGCTGCCTTGTCGGGGAAGTACTTCAGAGACAGGTCGTCGAACACGATCTTTCCATCCTCTGGCCAATCCTTTGGCGGCTTCTTGTTTGGCTTAGACTCGAAGTCACCTTCCGGCTCCAGATCCTCATACTCCACCACTCGCTCCACAGCCGTCATTGTGTTCTCCAGCTCTGCCGACTGTCGCATGCCCCACTGGACCATTCCGGTCATGCCCATGGCCTGGGTGATGGCCAGACCCACATCGCCTCCGTTTTCCGGGGAGAACAGGAAAAAGCTGAGTGTGATTACGGCGATATAGACGACACATACACAGTCCAGCCAATATCCAAAGGCGCGACTCGTGGCGAGGAACATATAGTAGCCTGAACTGTGCATATCCTGGTAATTGTCGAACTCGGCAATTAACTCTTTCTGCGCTCCAAACGCACGGATGGTGGACAGGCCATTCAGGGAAGCACTTAAGTGGGAGTAAATCGGTGATCGGGCTGTGGGAATGGAATAACAGCATTAGATATAGGGGTTTTTTATAGTTCCAGATTAAGACCTAAATGGACAGTCGACAAAGTTGGGATAGGTTTCCCAAGTATACTTACTGACAGCTTCGAGTCGCTTAACATCTCGGGACGTGTTCAGATAGAAGGAGCGTAGGATGTAGAAGATGATCACCAGGAAAACCGTTGCCAGGATGTACCATACGTTTACTATACACAGGACCACTACGATGCCGACAATGGCGAGGAAGATTTGCATCACGTCCATCATCACGGAGGGAAGGATCTCGTCCACCTGACCCAAATCCTTGGAGAAGCGGTTGAGGATGCGGCCGGAGGGGTTCGTGTTGAAGAAGTGCATCGCCGCCCGGGTCACTCCTTGGAACATGGTGTTGTGCAGCGTCGTGGAGCTGCGCATGGCCAAATAGAAGAAGAGCATGCTCCGCACCAGCGAGAAGATGATCACGGAGACGTTGATGCCGGTGAAGTAGTAGATGTCGACGGGGTCAGTGTCCGCATTGATGCGGGTTTCGGGGAAGGCACGTCGCAATCGGGCCATAAAAGTGTCACGTTCGGCTTCACCGTTTTTGTTCACCCTGACATATACAAAGTTTATTAAGTAACGAAAGCTAGGAAGGGTCAGTGACTTACCAGTAGGACAGGAAGATATCGCCACCAGAAGCCAGCACCTGGGCACCGATGCAGAAGAAGGCGAACACGATGAACAGTCCGTAGCCATTCGCTCCAAAGTACTTCTTGTAGAGCTTCAAGCCCACGGTTCCCTCCACGCGTCCCTCCTGCGTCTGCATGGGCGACTCCGCGGCCAAGGACTCGGCGGTGGACTCCATGGAGGAGATGCTGCCGTGTCGGTCGCGCAGCTTGCTGTTCTGCCGCGAGAGGCTCTTCTTGTCGGCAGCATCGCCCGCGCCCTCGTCCTTCTTGCTGGGATCCGTCAACATCTGGGCAAAGTCCAGGCCGCTCTTGGCCATGGACTCGTAGGTGCCCATTGCGCTGATCTTGCCCTTGTCCATGATCACAATGACGTCGGCCTGCTCCAGGAACTGCAGTTGATGCGTCACCAGCAGCACGATCTCCTCCCGTAGGAAGCCACGCATACACTGGTCGAAGAGATGGCGTCCCACATGGGTGTCCACGGCACTGAGCGGATCGTCCAGCAGATAGATGTCGGCCTTCCGGTAAACAGCCCGGGCCAAGCTGATGCGCGCCTTTTGTCCGCCGGAGAGAGAGGCTCCCCTCTCGCCAACAATCGTCTTGTCCGAGTACGGCAGCAGCTCGAAGTCCCGCTCCAGGGCGCACTTCTTGACCACCGTGCGATAGCGGTGCTTGTCCATGGGCAGTCCGAAGAGAATGTTCTGGCGCACGGTGCCGGTGAAGAGCCACGGCTCCTGGGAGGCGTACGAGAGGGTGCCGTTGACCTTCACCGAACCCGAATCCGGATTCAGTTCACCGAGCACAGCCTGAATCAAGCTGGATTTGCCGGAGCCCACTGGTCCAATGACCGCCACCAGTTGGCGGCGCTTGAACTTCAGGGAGATGTTGTCCAGCGTGTTTTCCGTACTCTTTTGATCCCACTTGGCCTTCAATTTGCTGATGATAATGCCGTGCTCCGCCTCGCTGCTGCGTCGACTGTTGGGCTTCAGGACACCAGTGGACTGGGCCACAGCGGGCTCAGAAATCAGACCCGCCTTGCCCAGCTTCTGCTCGTCCAGATCCTCCGACTTGTCGCGCACCTTCGTCTCCTCGTGCAGCATGAAAGTCTGGATGCGGCGGATCGAGACCAAGAGCTCGGCAAACTGGGAGATGCCCATGGGGAAGTAGACGGTCATGGTGTTCCGAAGGATATTATAGTAGGCGGTTATCACGAAGGCCTTCTCGGCGGTCAGAAGCTTGCCAAGCAGCACAAATCCCACCAAGCTCACAAACACCGATATCCGCGTCACGAACATGATGAAACTTTGCAGTGTGCCTCGGATGTAGTTCACATTGCGGATGGCGTTCATCTCCTTGGTGCGCACATAGTTGATCATCTTGCTGAAGGGTATCTCCCATGCGTACATCTTGATCACTTGGATGCCCGAGATGATCTCGTTCATCATGCGCACCCGTTCATCCGTCCGCAGAGCCGTCTTCAATCGCAGCACCGATGTCTTCTTGCCCAGATAAGCTTGCAGGGGTATAAACATCAACATCACGGCCACCCCGAAAAAGGCGGAGATACCAATCTGTGGAAGAAAGAAGTATTACTAGATTATTATTTTTATAAAGAAAATTCTTATCATTTTTAAGTTTTTTAGATACTCCACTTTAATTTATACAAATTCTATAGCTACTTTTTGATAGCATATAATTAATATTTCCACAAGGTGAACTTTTATAACTTATTCAAAAGTCTTATTAATAAAAGTTCAAAACTTAGTTCTAAAACAATTATTTGTTGAATTGGTCTGTCTTAAGTGCTTTCAAGTGATTTAACTCAAGTGGCTGATGTAATCATATTTTATGCTTCTAAAAAAAAAGGTTATTGACTATTACAAATCTATAAATAAAAATAAACACGTAATTTCTCTAATTCCCATTAAGTAGTAAATATTCCAAATTACCTACCTCTCTGTACATAAGATATGTGATAATGCCAATTTCCACGGGACCCAGCCATAAATAATTCATGTGAATGACGGACAAATCCAGCCGTCCCACATCGTTCGAGATGAGATTGACCACCTGACCAACGGTGGTATCGCCCAGCGCCACTCGACTCAGGCGCAGCGCCTTCCGATATATCATGCCTGCGGGGCGATCATTATTCATGTGTCACAAAGGGAGCACCTCCGAGCTCCGAGGCCCCGGCCCCTA